ATTACAATTGTTATAACCTTCAAGATGACGTAATCAAGATGAAGATCTTGAAGAATGACATGTTCTTCCTCAAATAGATGGCGAGATACAATGCATTTGATATAATGACTTTGGAAGGAACTTTCAATGTTTGGTGATTTTAGTAGAAGTAAGAATAATTCTTAACAATATTCTAAATATTTTATTTGAAAGAAGTTATGAAGGTCTTAACAATGATTAAATAACTTGGTGGTCTTTCCACTCTAGTATGAGGTATTATCAATGGTTGAAAGGCCTTATCAACCAGCTTCAAAGATAACAAAGATCAAAGTATGTGGCAAATATAATTTGCCGTATCTTGAATTTCTTCAACATATGATGATTGCTCTTCATAGAACTTGTCCCTAGAGAGGGACATAATATCACAAATATATACATGTAAACCAATAATTACCTATATGATTAGATAAAAGTAGGTTAATTTCATAATATCTTCTATAATAGCTTTTTAGAAGCTTCATAGATGCTGCTTTGATTTAATAGATATCTATAATTGACTTTTTAGGTTAAAAACGTAATCAACAACTTAGCCATGTGCCATACATATATAACGTAATCAACAAGCTAACTATATGGCGCACACATAGAAAACTTTTCTTATAAACTAAAACATGTGATTTACAAAGTCAACACATATTAGAGGTCATATAGAACATCGTCATGTATCTTTTAATTAGATAGTATATTTAGAGGCAAGAATAAAGCCTTCTTCACTCTTATCAATACTTTTCTTGTTTTTAGTCTAGATTCAAGAGTCTCTAGTTTTCTTGTCTTTTCACAATAGCTATTTTAGTTTTCTTATAATATACATATATTTTATTTCTATTTTGCCACTTTTCTTTTGATAAAAATTTCTCAAGTTCATGCATCTTTTTCCGTCTATGTTCTTGATATATCTTTTTCTATAAAATAATTTTTAAATATTATTTTAATAATTAATTGGTATATTTCGAGATTATATAGAACAGCTAAAGCAAAAAGAAATTTGATGGAATTAAATTTGACTATAGAAGAGAATATTTTTATGTAATCAATGCCTTAAACTTAAGTAAAACCTCATGCAACTAGCTTTGCTTTATATTTATCAATACTTCCATTAGCTTTAGTTTTGATTTTAAAAATCCTTTTTGAACTACTTGATTTTTATTAAGTAATAAATTTATCATTTGTTATGTATTTTTCTTGTTTAAAGATGTAATTTTAGCATTAATTTCTTTTTGCCATTCTTAAGCATCATCTCTCTTCATTGCTTCTTGAATGGAGTTTGGAGCTTCTATGATGGTAGAAACAAGATGAACTTGGTGATGCCTATGACAATGGCATTTATATTCTTTTCTTTCTTGTATAGATTCTAACAACCGTGTGCTTAGTTTAATATTTCTTGTTGATTATGAATTAGAAGGAAGATTTGAATCTTGCAATATAGAATGGACTTCATCATATTGAAGAGATAATATCTCATCATCATTGAGTAATGATAGTTGAGAGAAGTCATCGATGACATCAATGTAAGAAAGAGGTTGTTCTCTCACATTTTCAAAAGTATTATGTAATAGATGTTGATCAAATACATGGTAGTGAAGAGATTCCTTGAATAGAAAGAATGTTTTTTTCATTGGTCCTTATAGTTGTTGTAGAGTGCTTAAATAATTCTAAGTCTAGTAAGAGCTCTTTGTTGTCTTTTGGCAAGTGTTTTGCTTTTGGATCATGTAAATTTTTATTGAAGAGATCATCTCTAAAAATAAGAATTTGTTGATTTTATATATTCATGAGTTTGTAGGCTTTAGATTCTTCAATATAGCCTAGAAAGATAACTTCTTGTCAATAAAAGTCTAACTTCTTTCTTATTTCTTTAAGAATAAATATACAAGCTTTGCAACCAAATATTCTAAGATAAATTTGGTTGGAGTTTATACCATAATTCAAATGGTGTTTTGATATCTTATACAAATTTGGTAGGATTCTTATTTTGGATGTAATTAGCGGTTTGGAGTGCTTCATCCCAAAAAAAATTAAGTAAGATTGAATAGGATAGCATTCCAAGAACTACTCCTATTAATGGCTATTTTTTCTTTCAAAAATACCATTTTGTTGTGGTATATAAATTATAGTATATTCTTATTTGATTCTTTTTTTGTTACATAAATCTTTAAATTCAATTGATTCATATTCGCCTCCATGATCAAATCTTAAGGTTTTGATTTTGAAACTTGTTTGTTTTTTCACAAATTTTTTGTATAAGGTGAATTTTTCAAATACTTTAGATTTATATTTCATCAAATAGAATTGGCAATATCTTATTAGATCAGCAATAAATGTGATGAAGTAAGTACATCCTGAATGTGTTTCTTCTTACATAAGACCACAAATGTCAAAATGTACAAGTTCTAACAATAGGATAGTTCTTTTTGTACCTTGTATAGGAACCTTCTCTTTATGTTGTTTACCTTCTATGCAAGGTTGACATAAGATAATTTTCTTTTCATCAAAGAGGCCAATCTTTTTTGCCATTGTTTGTATTTGTTTAAGTCTTTGTTGATTTATATGTCCTAGTCTTAGGTGCCACAAATCTGCTTTATTGAATTAAGTTGTTGATGAAATTGCAATTTGAGGCTTCTTTAAAAGTATTGTTGTACCTAATTTATATAAATCAAGGTTCAAAATTACACATTGCAATGGTGTTACCAAATTTATTGATAAGTATAGTTGTTCTAGGTCTTATGAAAATTTCTCCTCCTGCCTTATCCAATTATTTGGCAGAGAATAAATTCTTGGCAAGTCCTAGTATATGTAATATATTAGGTATGATCTTTTCATCACCATTTATGATTTTGATATTTACATCACCATATCCTTCTATGGTGTATGTTGTAGTATTGTCTCCTAAATAGACAACTTGTTTATCTTCATTTTTGATGTATTTGACAAATTCTGCTAATTCATGATACATATGTTGAGTTGTTTCCGAGTCCACATACCATATTGAATTTGCGTTTTCTTTAACTATAAGTATTGCCACATATAATTTATTTGATTTTGTAACAACATTTTTTTTCTATTATTACAATTTTCAATTCTTATTCTTGTTCTACAACCTTTAATCAAGTGACCAAGTTTCTTGTAGAAAAAAATACTTCTTATTAATAGCAAAATTACTCTTTTCATATGGCTTAGAGGTACTACTCTCTCCTTATGGATTCCTTCTGAAATTCTTGTTAAAATAAGATTTCTTATTATTATTCTAAAATTTCTTGCCTACATATAGGGCTAAATTATTATCAAAAGTTAAACTCATGTTTTTTCATGAGTGTTTCTTCCTAGATCAAATCTATTATCAAGGATGCTAATGTGATCCCATGCTGCCTTCTCAAGGAGCTAATAAAGGATCTATATTTTTAAGGCAAACTTCTCATTAAGGTGAGAATTGCTTCATCATCTGGAACTGCTAATCTTGCTCCCAACAATTGTTCCATATGTGCTCTAAAGATATGAATGTGTTTAATAACACTATCACCTTCTCTCATTTTTAAGATATATAATTTGTCTTTCAAATACATCTTAGTTACTGCATCATGTAATTCAAATATTTTTACTAGTTCTTGTCATCCTGAATTTGCTGATGTGTAAGATTATATATGTGAAAAAATGTTTGTTTTTTAAGCAATTGTTGATTATGGTTAAAGACAATGTATTCTTGTCTATCCATGTGCTTATACTCCCTACTCCTATGGTAGGTAAAGTTGTGGTTCCAGTAGCAACTTCAGCTACCATTAATTCCATTAGTAAGCATTCTTCACCACTTGCTATCCACCATAACTTTTCAGCCTTGAAAACTAATATTAATCTATGTTTCCATATATTAATATATAAACCATCAAATTTTGGAACATAATTGATGTCCACTATCTATGTCATCTTCAATATTCTTAATTTGAAGTTGAATTAAAATTATTTATTAATTCATTCTTAATCAATTCAATTTTACCTTTGCTATTTTCAGGTTTAGAATTGCTTCTCATGGTTTGAAGAACTTCAAGTTCATCAACCTTTCTTGTGAAGCATTTTTTAAAGCTTTCTAAGGATCAAAGATTTCTATCGCTCTGATACCATGTTGGAAACATTTTATATATTAATATGATCAATTCTTACACAATATATTATGTGCACAAGTATGACACCAAGAGTCACAACTCTTGGTGTAAGGTCACAATTAAGTAGATAGTATTCTATACTGGAAACTAGTGTAATATACTGAATATTTCTCCCAATACTCACAAGATCAGGGCCAGGCGCGGAATGTCCTCAACGCCAAAGTCGAAGCAGTTCTGGAAGCTAAATCAGTTACAGAGGCCGATTTTGCCCAGTGTTCTTAAACCCAGTTTCTTAGGTGCTCTTCCGCCAAGGAACACAGAAAAGGAAGCTTTGGTGCATAAACGGTTTCCTACTGCGGGAGAACAATGATAGCGGAGATTCGGATGTCGGGGGGTTTGCTGCCACCGACACTCGTCTTTGCCCAGACGTCCGAGTATCCGTTACGGAAAGTCCAGTGAATCAACAATGAGAGGTTCCTACAGGCATTCAGCTGGCCATGTAGCTACTTCGAATACTTCGAGGTCTGAGCAAATGGTATAGAAAGCTGGGGAGGAGGAAATTATGTCAACCTCCACCAGTTTTAGCAAAATCATGGGTGATAAAAATTACGAGCAGAGAAAACCCATAATGTAGGTGGTGAATCCCATTCAACCTAAAACCCAGAAACATGCTTTCTACAGAATTTGTGCACCTTTGTAAGGCTTTTGTATTACTTCTGTCATCTTGAATAAGTGTAATATAATAGGAGAAACATGAATCTGCGAACGCAGGTGTGAAACTTACAAGTGCATACAATATAGTAAGAGCAAATTGAAGAAAGCTATCCCTATCGTAAGTATAACATGAACAAAAGCACAAACCATGCTAAATGCATGAATCACTCAAAGAAGTCCGTATTACAAAATGTATTACAAAAATTGTACAAGCAGAGAGAATAATCTTGAAAGAGAATGACAGCTCTGCATTTTGAAGGCACTGAGGATTAATGAGTTCATGGTGAAGACCAACTCATGAATATGGAGGAACTTTTAAAACATTAATCAAAACAAAACACGGGCAATTTCTGAGAATTTTTTCCTGAAAATTAAAGAATTAAGAACTATTAAGTACATTCGTGGAGGCAATTTCGTTACTCCCTATTTGCGAGCTTCAACCTTTTTGGCTTCCTTCGCTGTTCATAAAACACAACGTATGAGGCAGTTAGCAAACCGACAATCTGCATAAACCACTTACTGATGCAAGAGATAGTTACAAAAACAAATAAATAAATAAATTTTAAAAGATTCAAAAGGAGCGCACTTTATCTGCTACGTATTTAAGTTGTAGATTAACAACAGGAGACCTCTCTAGAGACCGTAAGACATGTGTGGCTGTGCATGGAACAGTAAACAAAAACATAGGGGTCAAAATACGAACCAGCCTTCTCCTCCTCTCGCTTTTTAGCAGCCTCCAAGCGCTGCTGTCTTATCAGTTGTAAACGCTCTGCACCATCCCATTATCAAACTTACTCAGATTCAAAAATTCAATGATTGAATGGTTTGGCACACCGGAAGTTCCTGTTGATCAGTGAGTCATGCCCTGTAAAAAAGCACTCACCTAAATCTTTCTTTGACTGCTCTGTCTTGCCTTGCTCTTGCAATTTCAAGTAACGTTCATGAGCCTTTTGCTTCTCGAGCTCTTCTCTGCATTACAATCAACCAACTCAACAATCTAAGCATTTGCACTCTACTGGAAAAATTGCTTCTCACTTCCTGATTCCTACTACACGTATACAATATACAAAGCGTTGTCTTTCGAAATAGGCGACACAAACGACCTGAAGTAGCAAGCATAAGTCACGAAAATCAGAAACAAAAAGCAAACCAAAACTAAAAACTGATTTTAAAAATTAGATGATGATGATAATGATAATGATAATAATAAACACGGTAAATCCTTCTAAAGAGTGAAAAGAAGATACTAAGTGATGATTCAACGAGGATAGGCGACGGACAATAAGACGTAATGGAGCAGGAGTCGTAAAGACTTACCTCTCGCGTCTTGAAAGCTCTGCTGGCCTATCCATCTGCACAATCCCGGGAACCGTAAAAAACCTTTCTGAGGAAATATGAATCATTCATTTCTTGAAACAAAAACCGAAATTTTCGCCACCAAAAGCCATCATGTGATACGTTGTGATCACATAGCAGGAAATGGAAGAGTACGCGTACATCAACATCCTTGGCTTTCACGTTCTTCGGTTTCACCAGGTTCGGATTATGGATTTCAATCACTCCTGCAGTGCCCTTCTTCTTCTGCGTGAAATACAAAATCATTCTTAGTTTCCAGAAGAAAAAAATATTTAAGTAATTAGATATAATAGCAAGTATCAGGCTTGCCCAGGCACTAAAATAAACGTCTTCCACTTCTGGTTGCCGCATCATGGTCATAAATGCAATTTCTACGAACAGCTTGTTTAGTTACTTATGCTAAAAAATCATGGAATGAATTCAAGAATCGAAAAAGATAAAGTCACTAACCATGGTCTCTTCCTCCTCCTCGGACTCCTCCTCCTCAGATACCTCTTCTTCAGACTCCTCCTCTTCCTCAGGATTCTGCTCAAAGCCCAATCCAAGAATTCACTTGCACTTAAAACGTAATAACAAAAGAAATGCACGTCCGTCATAAATTCTCGAAGAATCTTGTCAGCAACCCGTTTCCTGCGAGCCGGCCATATCCCACGATCCCATCAAGCAGCAGCCACGTGACTTACCCGCTTGAAACTTCGAGGTTTGGTCGAGGTGCCGGCGGCTGTAAATCCAACAACATGAGGACCAATGATTCACATCAGTGCAGTCCTCACATGAAGAACGGAATGCAACAACGCAACAATCAAGAAAACCGAGAAAGATCAAAGGGGTACAAAAAATCCTGCTCGGCACACATACCCATCTCCTCCGGCGTGGAAAAGTGGCGCCGCCCCGTGGGCTTCCCCTTGAACTTCCCACGTCCCGCACCCCCTCCCATGTCGAATGCTTCTTCTTCTTTCAGCTGCTTCTTGTCCCCGTTCGCTGCACTGTCAACGAAGGTGTGCGCCCCGGAGTACACCGGCGAGAAGCAGCACGAGAGCGGGCGAGCGAGCGAGCGAGCAGTGGGAATACAGAGAGAGCAACACAGAGCGTGGCAAACAACAAACCCTAACGAAGAAGAAGAGAAATAGAAGAAAAACAACTTCAGAGTTTGGGGCCAAATCTGTTGATCCGCCTCCTCCTCCTTTGGAGCAAGACGATGTTCCCATTCCGTTCCCATCAAGGGATCGTCGATGTTCCTATTTCGTTCCCATGAAGGGATTGTCGATGTTCCCATGTCATTCCCATCGAGGGAGCGTCGAGTTCTCCTCCTCATGCAATCAACGCGCCATGACTGTGATAAAGAGCTTGATCGAATTCAAAAGCTTCGCGTATTAAAGTTACTTTTATCTTCCATCCTAATTGTTGGATTCATTTGGGGATTCGTTCTTTATTGTAGTTTTAGAAATTTTTATTTTTATTACAGAAACTAAAAATAGGCCCGGGTTTATTGTGAATGTATACTTTTAACTGCAAAATTTAACTTAACGGTTTACTTTTCAATTATAGTTGTAAGAGATAGAAAATAATTATATATTATAATACAAGGAAAATTTAATAATAAATGTTGATTGTGGACTTGCATCGTCTTTCAATGAGTATTCTTTAGAGCTTCATTGTAAAACAACAATCATTATGGTTGTCGAGATTAGAAAACCATCAAATTTATCAACTACAATGTAGAACTTCAATGCTTAGGAGCACTTTACAAACAGAAGAGATGGTATGAGATTATAACTTTTAAAACTTGTAATTGGTTGAAGGTAAGGTGCTTTATTTATTTAGTTGGATTTATTCTTAGATAATTCAGCCAAGAATACATGAGAGGAAAAAATGAGGTGGAATGAATTTTTTTCCTTGACGAAATTAAATTATATATATTTTTTCCCTCAAATTTGCAATAGGCCAACGGTACAAAGACAAATTTTGCAAAATTTTAAAAACCAATGTATACAATTGCTAAAAACTCCTACAAAAAATAAGTAATATTTCTTTTGTGTTAGTAATTTATTTATTTTATCAATATATGAATTATTATTTAATATTTTTCATTTTAAAACAAACATGATTTTTTTTTGTGTTTTTAATATTTTTTAATGTACTATACTATTTCCAAAGACTAAGACTTCTTAATTTTTTATTTGTTTATTTTATTAATAAGTGGTAAATATTTCTAAGGATTTTTTTATTATGACCTTTTGAAGGAGTTTTTAGACATATAGTCCTCTCGATGACGATTTAATGAAGACAAAAAAAACAAAAAAACAAAACAAACAAAACAAACAAACAAACAAACAACATACACACAGATTTTGATCCTTTTGTATTAATAAAAATAACCAATGTTCCAAACAATGATTTTTTTTTAAAGACGTGCAATTATTTTAATTCCATTTTTCTGAAGTTCTTTAAATAATTTTTCTTTTTAGGTATTAATTAAGTAATTTGGTTTTTATTTTTTTATCTATTTTTCTTTGAGACAGAAGATCTTGAAGCAACTTGTTGGTAAAGTTGTCTTAATGTTCTTAAAAAGACACCGTTAATATGTTAGAAAAATAGAATGACATGATTATGCAAGACGGTAGAGAATATATTGATAAAAACACCAAATGCAATGTAGTCATCAAATGGATTAATGCTATTTTGGAATCTTTAATACAATATGGTCTGTCTGTCTAGAAGCCCTTTTTAAAAGGCCTTGTAAAAAAAGCTTATAAAGCTCTTAAGTCTTGTGAAGGAAAAACTCTCCTTTAAAAATCTTGGCCTTTGAAGATAATATAAAGTTAAAAGAAGTTATAGAATGGACCAAACCATTTTTAGTTTATTTTATTTTATCTTATTGTTGTTATTATTATTATTATTATTATTATGAGTGTAAGGATGTCTATTCATACCTTCATTCTAACAACTACGTTACGACTACTTGATTTTGCTATTGTTACGACGTAAGCACCAGATGGATGAATGATAAAGAGTACTCATGGATGAATGAAAAAGCACGATGAAGACATGCCCTCGTGATCTGAACACAACGTGAAGGAAGGCTCACGGACTCCGAAGAAGACTCCCCGTCTCCAGGAACGTTACGTGGATAATACCCGGGTGGGATATAGGGTATCGTTCACAGGGTATGCATCGAAGAACGAGGTCCCCACGGAGGGAGGGCCGAGGCAAAGCACAAGCCATCGCGACACCGCGAATTGTTTTGTCCGGTAGCGCCTCAGCGCAGTTTGCTTCGGCACGGTGGATGAGTTCGCACCGAATTCTAGATCAGGTCCCCATCCCATGTCTAAATTTGTACTCTGAGCGGATTTTAGCATTCTTCCACTTTGGAGTTCCTGCGTGCGCCTCTCTCTTCCTTGCTTATAAAGAGAACTGCCAGGAGGTTGGCACGCCACGCTGGTTGTGTGATTGGGCGGGATAGTTTCGGAGCATCTGTCACGGAACAGTGACTTTGTTGCCTGGAGGTGCGAGGTTTGAGAGTCGAGAAGAGGTGCAAATCCAGAGACAAGGGAGTCGAGTTTGAGAGAGTTTGCGAGAATTTGAAAGCGAGAGAGAGAGGAGAGTTTGGGAATTGATCGGAGATGTCTGAGAGCAGGAGCGATGATGGCAGAGCCGTGGCTCGGCGCACGGGCGTCCTAGCCAGGCATCTGGCGCAGGAATTAAGCCCCGTTTCGTTCTTTCAACCTTCTCCATGCCTGGCGTATCAACCCCCCGAACTTCATTGCGGTCTCAATTCTGCCCTCGTCTCTATTTCGATGCGCTTCTGTGTTTCTCTTTGGAGCCTCGTTAATATTGCTACAAAAGTTTTGCTTCTCTTGCTTTTAGGAAAAAATCTGGAAAAAGGAATAAAATAAAATAAATAAAGATATTTTTAAAAAAAGGTCATATAATTTTTCGTCACAAGAAACTGTGTTTGTCTCGAAAAAACTGTTCGAGTGTGTCAGTTCGACTGTAAATGTTTGTCAATATGAAGCTGTTAATTCTTTGGGGACGCTTTTCGATTGAAACAATCATTGAACGGCGGATCATTTCATAGATTTTTAGTCAATTTTAAGTAACCAGCCTGAGGATTGCGAATTGCTTCGAAATTTGGAGCAGATAAGTCCAGCTTCGACAAATCAGTGATGCGGGAGCTTTTGGATGGGCACCACGTTGCCCTTCGCGACTCCTTTGCGAACCTGATGATAAGCAGCGACTTGTTCGTTAACAAACGAGTTGGTAACCTAACGTTTGCCACGCCTAACTTCAACACGACGATGGAAGAGCATAGAGACAAAACCTTGGATCGCATTCTCTTCTTTCGTAGCAAGGGGGTGTTCAAGGGCTGGCTGACGGATTCTTCCGTTGACCACGCCTTGAAACGAGCTGCTCTGTTTGAAACTCTTGGTACCTTTGATCACTCGCTGGCCATCAAGCTTGGCGTTCACATCCACTTGTGGGGAGGCGCCATTCAGTACTTGGGAACCAAGCGTCATCATGACAAATGGCTGAAAATTACCGAGGATTACCAGGTTCGAGGATGCTTTGCAATGAGCGAGCTCGGCCATGGCAGTAATGTAAGTACTAGGTCTTTTACGGTTTCTCTGTCCTCTCAAAACTGGTAGTGAGAATCTGCAAAGCTATCTGTCTGTCTAGCGTTTAACGTTTTTTTGGGATTGATAATTTCCCGATCTATTTTTGGATTATAATTTTATTCGCAGTGTTGTGAAAATTAGTCTTTGAACATTGTGATCCTCTGACCAGGTGCGAGGCATTGAAACTGTTACTACCTATGATCCTTCTACAGAGGAGTTTATCATCGACACTCCTTGCGAATCTGCTCAGAAGTACTGGATTGGAGGAGCTGCGCAGGTAACTGTACCATGTTTTGTATTGTTGAATTGTGTTAATTCTGTGCGCTTTTGAAGTTTTTTAATATGCCGATCATTTTTTGCACCGTTTACATGATCCGTGTGCTCACTTTACTCTGTCATTGGCAGCATGCTACCCATACGATCGTCTTCTCGCAACTTTTGATCGATGGGAAGAACGAAGGCGTTCATGCTTTTGTTTGTCAGTTACGGGATCAATATGGCCATGTTATGCCTGGGATACGCATCGCCGATTGTGGTCACAAAATTGGTTTGAATGGCGTGGACAATGGTCGTATTTGGTGAGTATTAACGGTTCTTAGTTTGCACTAGTAAAATTGGTGAAAGAACAGTGCATTGTTTTTTGCTCGAATAATCGTTCTATTTCTATGAAGTATTATGCCATCTCACTCTAAACAACACAAACTGTTGGTAGGTTTGACAAAGTGAGAGTACCCCGTGAGAATCTGCTCAATGCAGTAGCAGATGTAACCCCAGATGGAAAATATGAAAGCGCAATCAAAGACCCTGACCAGGTTCGTGTTAATTGTATACTTGGGCCCTTCTTTCTCACCTAAAAGAATTCATCTAATTTTAATTAAGTCACAGTTGAAAAATTCTTACGTGATATTTCAATTATTGAATTCTTGCAGAGGTTCGGTGCTTTTATGGCTCCTTTGACATCAGGGCGCGTGACGATTGCCGTGAGCGCTATTTACCAAGCAAAGGTGGGCTTAACAACAGCTATCCGGTATGCTTTGACAAGGCGTGCTTTTTCGTTGGCTCCAGAACAGCCGGAGGTCCTTCTCTTGGACTACCCTAGCCACCGACATCGATTGCTTCCTCTTCTGGCCAAAACGTTAGCATCTAATCACCACATTTTCCTATTCTATCCACTGCAAAGTACTTGATTTGTAGGTTTTCAAAAAACTTTATAGAGGTTGATGTGTATGATCTGTATAACTGGCAGATATGCAATGAGCTTTGCTGCTGTGGATTTGAAGAACCTGTACGTGAGACGGACACCTGCGGACTCGAAGGTTATTCATGTCTTGTCAAGCGGTCTCAAAGCAGTTTTCTCGTGGCACAATCTTCGCACTCTTCAGGTACTTATATCTCTGAGCCAGTTCTTTCTTCTTTCCTTTTATTTTAATTTGATTTGATTTGATTTGATTTAATTTTTTTTTGTGTGTGTGTTCACTAATGAGTTGAGAATTGTATGAGATAATTGCAGGAATGCCGAGAGGCATGCGGAGGCCAGGGTTTGAAGACTGATAACCGGGTGGGGCAGCTAAAAGCTGAGTATGATGTTCAATTGACGTTCGAAGGTGACAACAATGTGCTAATGCAGCAGGTCTGGTTTTTCAAACCTAAATTAAGGACCAAGTATGTGACTTAGAATTACACTATTATGAATCATGACTTTTGTTAATTAAATTGAGATATAAAGAGTGTTAAACTGGTGTCTTTCGTTTCTCAGGTCAGCAAGGCGCTGTTGGCTGATTATATGTCTGCTAAAAAGAGAGGGAAGCCCATGAAGGGAATGGGGTTGGAACACATAAATGGTCCAGCACTGGTTATACCTGAAGACCTTACCAGAAGTGTTCTTCGTGACTCCAAATTTCAGGTACGTGGGTATTCATAATAGTGTGATTGGTTTTTTTTGCCTTGATTATAGCAGTCCTTCAAACCCGCAGCTCAATCTAGCCCCTCATACTTATACGTTCTTTTCTGTATGTGTTTAGTAGTTTCTCGTGGTATATAGGGACGAATTTAAAAGATTTCGATAAGGTCGTTATCCTTTGCTGACCAATCGAGATTAACACTTATTCCTTGTCTGCTGTTGTACCAGTTGGCACTTTTCCAGCTGAGGGAGCGGGGATTGTTAGAGCTTCTATCCTCGCAAGTTTCATCTCTTGTATCAAAGGGAGTTTCCATGGCTGATGCAGTCATTTCGGTACGATTCTTTTCGTTCTTTGCATTACGTTAAAAAGAGGCTATATGGGCAGTCAAATATGGTGGAAGTCTCAGGGAGGTTGATATGGATCGTTGATAAGAGGATGAATTCTCTCGTCGCATGGTTCGATTCGGGAATTTATCACATCTTTTCTGCTGCGGATAAACATCTTTTGTCTTTCCCTAGTGTTTGAAGTTTTTGCCGATTTTTGCCGATTTCAAACGTGCCTTAGAAAACCTGTTGGAAATTACTTTTCTGAGTGCATTGGGGTTAAGAATTATCAACAGCGCTAGTGTTCAGGAATAGAGGTCTAATATTTTGATTGTTGTTTCTTTCCCAGAGTTATCAATTAGCTGAGGATTTGGGCCAAGCATTCTCGGAACGCTCAATCCTGGAGAGCGTCTTGAGAGCAGAGCAACAGACTACAGGCTCAACGAAGGTACCCAATTTCTTATTCCTGGTTAACTATTAGAACTACTTCTTAAGTAATGTCTTTTCCACCAGTATAGATACCTCCTCTGCATCAATTCCTCTGCTTAACAAACATGCGAAAAATATTGTGTCTGTTCTATTTGCAGGAGGTGCTTGGTTTGTTAAGGTCGCTTTACGTGCTATCTGCCGCCGACGAGGGACCAGTATTTTTGAGGTAACTGCTTTCAAATCTAGTTCCAGCATAGAAATTGGGATTTATCTTACCATGGGTTTTCAATTCTGCATTGTACCTGATTTGGAGATAATTAATCTCAGCCTCGCAAAAATCTCGCAGATATGGGTACCTCTTACCGAAGCAGTCACAGCTTATCAGCACCGAAGTTGCCTCTCTGTGCGGCGAGCTCCGACCTCAAGCCGTCAATCTCGTTGACGCATTTGGCATCCCTCAGGCCTTCCTGGGGCCGATTGCCTTCGACTGGGTTGAGTACAACTCCTGGAACAACGTGCGATAATGCAGCAAATTCTTATAATCCAAGACAGTCAATGGGTTGATGATTGCCGACTTTCAGGCCAGTTTATCCTCGTCGGCTGCATCTCATTGTTCGAAGTAGTGTAGCGTCCAGATTAGCCCTGTCACTTTTCAATTACAGACATGGTGAATTAGTTTGAACAAGAGTAATGACACTATATGATAAGGTGTCATATCACAGATACTTGTTTGAGTCATTTAATTTGAAATTTCTCGATTGCCTCATCGGTACAATTGGAGACTTAGCAATGGATTGAAGTGATACTTCAGTGCTCAAATCTTGCCCAAATTTTGTGCAGGAACGCAAGAGTTGACGAGTCAGGTGAATTAGGTTGAGAGTCGTCGAAGATTGAATTGGATTGATTACTTCAGTCTTTTTTCGTTTGATTACCCTCAAATATCAAAATCCTAATTTAGATAAGTGAGTATGTTGTATTATTTATTTGGATGTTCTCTGTAGAGTTTACAGCCAATACTTTACACTGAGACGAATTTGCCCTCTTCAAAAAAATCGATAAATAAAAAAATGTATTAAACACAATTAACAATGTTATTAACAAAGGTATCCATTGTTGGTGCATAAAAATAAAAACAAAAACACAACATGGCAAGATTATAATTATAGAATTCTATATTATAAAAGTTATAGTAAAAATGTATATATTTAAATTTTTATAGATATTAAATAATAAGTTTAAAGATCATTTAATATATTAATAATTTTTTATAAAGATAAATTTAATGAGATATTAAATAATTGTATAAAGATTTTCTCTAATATTTGAACATACAGGAATAAATAGATGTTAAACTAAAGATACAATGCAAAGGACAATATGATAATACGTAAGAAGATTTTTTTAGATATGGTGATACATGGTCAAGAAATGTTTTTAAACAACACGAAATTTTTATCAATTGCAAATTAGTATAAATCAAAATAAAACAATCTTTACAAGGCTTTATTCTTGCAAATGCTAAATGTAACTCAAATACAATTAAAGTTGGCCAATCTATATTTTTAAATTAGTTTTATTATATAACTTTTTGAGTAAAAATATTGAAATCTAATATTCTTGTACTATTTATTTTGTAGGTAAATCTGAAAAATAAAAATAAAAACTAATAAAAAATAAAATCAATGTTGGTAAAAAGATGAATAAATTATGAGGTATATCAACTAAATTTATAAAATCTATTATGAGAAGATAATCTAAATTGTTAATTTTTCTTTGTTGCAACTAAGATTTTATCTAAAAAATATTTATATACATTTATATATATATATATCGAAAAACATATACATGCAAAGATACTACTAGAGCATTGAAAAAAGACATCAAATACAACACATGTGCAATATTTGGTTTCTGTTAATATCAAAGTTTTTTATTTTAATATTTTTTGTATATTATTGATCTGCTTGGTTCTAGAGCATTTATACATAAATTTTAAGAAAATGTGAAGTGTAGAAGATCAAGACAGACACAAATAAAGTGCACCAAACAATAATGAGAAGTTCACATTCTCTTGCAAATTGTTCCACTAGTATATTTTGAAATATTCTTAGTATAAAAAAAAACACCAATTTTTTGAAGATTCTAAGAATAATTTGTAATATATATATATATATATATATATATATATATATGTATATTTGATGGAAGAAGAAAAAATTATATGTTTTTGTAAAAATTGTTTCAATAAATTACTTTAAAGATGAATATTTTATATTCTTATTTTGTAAATGTAACCCATCATCATGTTGCATCCACCACCCAAAAATATGACTTTTTGCATTTTTTCAACAACTTTACTTGGGAGTTTTGGCAGGAACTTTGGGTGGAAATACCAATTCTTTAAAAATGTCACTAACAATGCATTTTTTTTAACAATTTGATAGTTAAATTACTAGAAGAATTATTTTTTATTATTAAGATAATTTTGCTATGCATTATACTTGTATTTAGAAAATGAATTTTTTAATATATATATCCATATATATATATATATATATATACATATATATATATATATATATATATATACATATATATATATATATATGTATGTTTAATATCATTCAATTTTTTAAAAATTGTCTTATAGTTTTATTTAGTTCTTTTGTTCTTTTTGTATTGAATCATTTATTAGCAGCTTTGAGTCTAAAAACTTTATGTTTTAAAAGTTCTTTTTAAAGAAAAACCAGTTATTTATACTAATTTACTGTAATTACGTAGAATATTATGTAACATTAATAAAACTTAAGAATCAAAGAATAATAAATTAAACAATATTGGCTCAGATATTTAAATTGTTTTAAAAGCTCTACTTGGCAAATGTATCATTTCTCTAAAATTCTTTACAAAAAACATTGATCAAAGGCATTTATGATCCGAGTTTTAAAGTTCAATAACACAATAAAAATATTTATTATTTATTTAAAAATATAGATATTTATATATAGCTACGTCTTTTTTAAAAATTGTCTTGTCTATTTGAACATGGAGTTTTGAACATAATTTTTTTTGTTAAAATTTTAATTTAAAAATAAAAGAAAAGGAAAGATAATTCAACAAACAAAATATTTCATCAAGAGAATATTACAAAAATGATTTTATATAAGCAAAAATAGGAATTGTTTTACTCAGTGATTACAATTAAGAAGAGGAGTTCACAATACTGAATATGTTCAGGGTACTTCCCAAAAGCACACAATAAAATATGTTTATGAAAAGGGATCCTCTAACATCATATTATTTACATAAAAGGTTCTATTCAATGTCAAATAATATTATTCTATATTTTTTTTGGATGTTTGTGTGTAGAAACATGTGCATTCATTCATTCATTCATTCATTCATACACTATGAACACCAGGTTCTGTTCTTGACAATTCCTGGTAATGAACTAGATGCGAATGATTCAGTTAAACAAATAAAACCATTACTTTGCAATTAAGAAACGCGTCACACCTCCGTCCATGGTCTTCAGGAGAATCGAACCCGTGATCGAACCCATGGTGTCCAGATCAGGCTCGGACCCATACCAACCACCACCGAACCTGCCTGCTCGGGCCAGAAAATTTCAAGGGGCCGTCTGAACGGCCCGCGACGAACGATTCCGTCAACGAACTACGTCGCAGTCGTAGACACCTACTACGACTGCTGATTCTGCAAAAGCAGAGCCTCTGATCTCACCATATTAAGAAAATTAGTGCCAGAAATACTGCGACTTCAACGTCTGTGACTCACGGATCATACGAAAACACGAGACCCAGGAAATATTGTAACGCCAAATCGGGGTGTACAGGATGATTTATTTAGAAGTTGTGTTGCATTAAGTTCGAGACTCAGGAATAGTAGAATTGCAAAAGAGGAATGGACTGAGGTATCTTGGAGCACGTGGGGTTGACTAACAGTTGAGGAATCAGCTGTCGAGAGGAAAAAATACACTATCGGGAGTTGGGAGTTTCCATTCTCACGACGTGCCGAGCGACCGCAGTCTGGACAAGTGGAGGTTGGATCAAGATGATTGGGATTTCCTGAAATAGTAGTCGGAACTGCGAAGTGCCCTGGATCATGTGCGTGACCAGGAGGTGATTCGAGCACATTGACAGAGACACGGGGGTTGTGAGGCTTCAGAAGACTTGTGCCGATGGCCCTACCTGATGACCAGGACCCGATGGCACGTTATCTGCTCATGGATGCTTTACCAGTAGTGGTAGATCAGGCAGATACTTATTGCGGAAGAAAATATCGATGAGTTCATGTCAGAGTTCAGATAATCCAACGGCTTGAAGACATCGCACTCCTGCAATCTTGTGACCGACTCCACCCACATGTGATCTCATCACCTTCGAGTTGTCTGTATCGTCGTGTTGTCTGTATTGCGCATGAGAGTAAAGGTGAAACTTAGTGAACTGAATATTGTGAGCGCCACTTGGGCCACCACTCCCGCTGCAGTCTGTTGGAATAGCCTGCATTTCAGTGCATGGGTAGCATGGCGGATAGTGGACATGTTGTATTCAATATATATATAGATATATAACTTTGCATGCTAAAAGATTGTTTTAGAGTGAAAGGTCAGGGTCTTTGTCACTAATTGAATAATATTTGTATTGTTATTAAACAATCCCTTCAGCTGAGTAGTTTACCATAATACCTTGCTAACTGACAATTAGAGAGTAAACTAGCATAGATTCCTTCCATTCAGCACAGGTTGGATTCGTCGTAGAATTAAAGTCCAACTGCTGACCATGAAGCATATTGCTGATGTGGAGATTGACTTTTGAAGGAAACCAGCCCATGTTGAGGTCGTGGATGTAAACATTTGTTGAATATTTTGTTGCTAAAAAATCTATATATATATATATATATATATATATATACATATGAATTAGCATATGGAATTTAATTTTAATTAAAAAAAAAGTCTTGAAAATAAGCATGTCACAACTTCAAAAATGCATACAAATACATACATACATAGCATACTAAACAACGAAACAGCATTTGCTAATAATCTTTACTATCTCCAATACAAAGTCCAGAATGCCCACAGGTTATAAATAAATAACTAAATAATATATAAATATATATATATATATATATATATATATATACACACACACACACCCACGAGCTTTCATGGTCAAAATGGTAAAAATACGATCCATTTTTACAGCATTCAACGCAGAGGGCCAGTGTGCAACAGTGAGGAATCTTCCGCTGCCAGCAAGAGAGGGTATAAGCATCTACTCGCCGAGATATGAGAACCAGCATCATCTCTTCCTCACGTCTCCGATCACACACACTCACTCACTCACACTCGGTGCCTTGCATCCGTTCATTGCTTGCCAGGTACGTGATCCAATGCCCAATGCTCGCAGTCAAACCAACTCTGTTTCGCAAATTCACTCACCTGATTGTTCTGGACTGGACTGGGACTGGGGCTGTTGGTGCAAGCTCCTGAAGCCTCTCGTCGATTTCAGGCTCTTCACGTTTGCTTGTGGACTGTTCTGATTGTTCTTCTTCTCCATTCCCAGACCTTGCCATGTGAACTGGGAAGATATGCTTATAGCATTTTGATGAATGACTTTCCCGGTTAACATGAGGCACTGGAGTTTGATTTTGAGAGGCCATAGAGAGAGAGAGAGAGAGAGAGAGAGAGATCTGTTGGGTGAAGTTCCGGTAACGGTGTTGGTTGTACTCCCCTGTCGGTAGTGATGTGAGTTGGGATTTGTGATGCAGGTACTTCAGAAGCACTGAAGTTATCTCGATTGAATCGATCGCGAACATCAGCCAATTCTGCCAAGTATGTGAGCTGGCTCTGTAATGGTGAAATAGTTTGGGTTCTACAAAGCTTGAGTCAGGCGCCTTGGTTAAATTTAGTTCTGGATCTGATTCTTAACATCATTAGTGTCTTGTCATTAAAGCCCACGCTTGTCACTTTCAATCTGTTAAGAAATTGGAAAAAATGCATTGATTGGCTGCTGATCGTTAGATTAGTGGAGTACCGGAATGATGAATGCTTCTGTAGTTACTAATTCCAGGTTTCTCCTTCAATTTTGTCAAGCACTTCACGTATCTCCCTGCATTTTGTAACAGGTCCCCAGCCATGGCGCCACTTGCATCCATCGTCGTGCGTCCACACGCCATGGAAGATCGTTGTCTCGTAGCACCCCATCCCGAAGTCCGCCAGCGCCTCCTCACACGATACAATGAAATCAAGGCCACTATTGCCCAGTCCTCGGAGCTTTCCTTCCTTCGCTCGGTACTCCGCCCCATTGAGAGGCGCCCGCCAGGATTCAACGATGGTCTTCTCCGCCCTGGCCCAACCTTTCGCCCCGGAATGACCTTCGCGGCGCAGCTCAAGGAGCGCGTTCTCCTCCGCGGCGACGTGAACGTCATCGTGGTCTTGGTAGACTTCTCTGACCAGAAATTCACTCCCTCTCAAACAAAAGAGCATTACGCCAAGCTCTGGTTCCAGGAGGGCTCCAACAGTGTGAAAGACTACTTCAGGGACGTTTCCAACAACAAGGTGGACATCAAGGGAGAAGTCGTTGGCCCCTACCGGATGCCGAAGCCGATCTCGTATTACGCAAACGAGGAGAATGGAACTGGTAGCACGGCTCCAAACGCAAGAACAATGGCTCGAGATGCAGCCATCTTGGCCAACCCGAAGGTGAATTTCTCTAAATACGATAACGATGGCGATGGGTTTGTGGACGCGTTTGTGATTGTGCACGCAGGCTCCGGAGCGGAGAGGACGAGTAATCCCAACGACATCTGGAGCCATAAATGGGTGCTAGACAAGGGGGCGTATCAAGCCGACGGGACGAAGGTCTACAGCTACCTGACTGTTCCAGCGGATTGTAAGCTTGGAGTATGCGCGCACGAGCTCGGGCATCTAGCGTTTGGGTGGCCAGACTTGTATGACGCAGATTACACTTCGAGTGGAATTGGGGATTGGTGTTTGATGGCCGGTGGGAGTTACAATGGTAACGAGGATAATCCCGCGACTCCGTGCGCGTGGTGCAAGGTGGACCAAGGGTGGGTGGAAGTCATCACGCCAAAGGAGACGCAGAAGTGAGTTCCATCATGTCGATCACCCTGTTTCTTAAGTTTCTGATGAATTTTGAATCCAGAGCTTTTAAACGATTGCACGGAGACTTGCGTTTTCTGTAATATGAAGAGTTTAGTGTTAGGTTTAGCTGATACTACGGGTGCGCTGAAAGAAATTTACATATCTTGCGTATTGATGTGTTGGTTGTTCTAATGATCGATCCAGGGTGTCGCTGCCAGATGTGAAAGATGAGCATAAGGTGCTGAAGTTATGGACGGACGGTGTCGCCATGAGTGAGTATTTTCTGGTTGAGAATCGTCAATTGAAGGGGCGCGACAAGGATCTGCCAGCTGGGGGGTTGCTGGTGTGGCACATTGACGAGACGAAGGACGACAACACGAGCGAGCAGACGAATTACAAGGTGGCGTTGGTGCAGAGTGACGGCCTGATGGAACTGGAGCGCACTAAAAGGGATCAAGGAGACAATGGCGACCCATTTCCGGGGGTCAAGGGAGTCCGGGTGATCAACACGACGACGAACCCATCGACGAAAGGGAATAATGGCGTGCCTACTGGAGTGGCTATTAGCGACATCAGCGACCCTGCAGATGTCATGACTTTCACTGTGTCTGTTAGCAATAAAAACCCTGCCAAAGCGCAGATTGGAGAGGGATCCACCTCAGACGTGGCGAAAATTCACTTAAGCACGCACTAGATGCGTATTGGTGAAGAGTTCCACGCAAACTGAACGGTAGATGGCTTACGAACGACTACAGCAATAAAAACGTGTAAAGAGATTTGATTGCAAAAAATATTCAAATATTGTGATGCATTATTACAAAAACTTGGCACTTGTTCTAGCAAGCAGCTCTGAGAATTTTTTTTTCTTTTTCACCAGAGTTCTACAACCTCGGCCCACAATTTACACAATGCTATGCTTCCGGACGTGACCCATTCATTCTGCACACTGTGAAGCCTCACAAACAAAGTTTACCGATTATTCACTTATCTCCGTTCTCATGGGTGAGGTCCTCGTCCTCAGTCGCTACCAATTCAACAGAAATTGCTCGATCTAGTCCCTTAACTCTTAAACATTATTGCTCTATTGGATAAAATCGAAGATAGAAATGCTTGCTGGTGGTGATGTTGATGCAAGTGGTGAAGTGCTGCAATTTCATCATTCTGTAATCGGCTGCTCTATTTGGTGTAACTTTCGATTGATCGTTTGTCCGATGAGATGTGTTTCCGATTTGCCAACACTAGAAGCTGCCGACAATTCAACGCTTTCTGGAATACTGAATGAAGCCCTCAGTGAGGAGGCTTCACTTGGGAAGTAATATCAAGTTCTTGCATTTCTTGATGGTGGTTCTGTTACTTGAAAATTCTTAGGCATCAAAGAACACTAACATAACGATTGAGATAAAAATGCACAGGATGGTGCTCGTCCTGCACGGAATAGCTGGTTAGAGGTCACGAAGATTACGGACGTTTTGTCGAATAGGCCAACAGTATGTCTAGCCTAGTGACTAATGAAGGAAATAGCTTGCACGTGTTCAGGTAAGTTCATACACACTACGCAGCTTGTTCGTTCGATCACATGCCATGTAACTCGGAACACCTGAAAGACTATTTACATAGTGCACAGAAGTTGATAGAGTTTATGAACGGTGTGTGGCCTACGCAGTTTGGCCGCGTCATGACTCCTTGAATGCATGACCATCGGAAGACTGATGATTTATAATCGAAGACTGATGATTGTTCGATATTCGTCTTGATCGTTCCTTATCTGTAAATCTGCACATGAGTAATCCATAGGTGGCACAAAGCCGATGAAAGGTTCTCTTCAGTTATTTTGGGGAAATGTGGTCTCAGATTGTGGTTCCCTAGATCCCTTACAAAGTCGTCTAGGGGTGCTCTGGGTAAGCTACATGTGCACAACAACAAGGGACACCAAAATAGAAGCAGAATTTCCTCATCGACCTTTATCCGAGAAATGACCATATGGTTCAAGGTGCCCCGCCAAATGTGTGCGAAACAGTGTTAATCCTCACTGTATTACCCTCACAGCAGTTCAACACTAAAACTTTCGCGGAGGTTAAAACTCGTCTCAAGCCGTCTATTCGAGCAGAGAAACATTTGTCCATAGATCGACCAAACTTCCAGAGGAGAAACTAAAAACAATCTCCGAGCTAGAGAGAGAACTGGAGGGATTGGTATGATAGTGCTGTAGCGTGGTCTCGGCAAGTTCCCTTACGTGTTTCTGTAAATATCCATGCATTGGCGGGGTGTTTGTTGGTAAGCATTTTTTTCAGGGCTTTGGAGTTTCGTGGGGTTTGCATTCATAATGTTTGAGGACCCAGAAATACCGACGACTGTTCTCCTCGTCAGCTCGTTAGTGGTGCAGTTGTTGCTGTCGTGGCAATCGAGAGACGAAGTGGAGAATGGGCACAAGACGGCAGCGTGTGCACATGCTCGATCTCTTCTTCGTCGACGAACAGGCTTCGTTAATGTCAGTCTTTCAAACTGCAAGGTGTCATTCTGGACGCTTTTCGTAACTCACATTGGCTATTTGCAGTGGTAGGCGATGTGCTTGTGAAGAATGCTAATCCAACTCGTTCCATTTACAATCGAGACATCTGCAATATGCCTAACCACATGGAATTCGCCCCCAGCAAACCTCCCAGGTGGTGATTCCGACGTGGTGTCCCATCATGAATCCAGTTCGTCGTGCACTGTCTCTCAATACACATTACAGCGGCGGGTTTCGTGAAAATCCTTTAAACCCTGTTCTTGCACTGGTATGGCTAATGTGTATATGTATAGGTCCATATTGGTTACAAATACCTACAATAATCATAGATGGTACAGGGCATTGATTTTTTTTATGCTCTAGAGTTTCCCAATTTGATGTTATGTTTCGAAATTATCCGTTTAAATAATACCATTTTTTATTCATTTTTTTATTTTGTGAAATGCGTTTGTACCTGTACAGAAACATGTATAGAGCACATTCGAGAGCATGGACTCGAGACGTACAGGCTACAAATTTTGTAAAATTCCTCCACTTTTCCGTGTTGCTTTGACATTCTTCAGATTGCGAAGTGTCCAGCAGTGAAAACCCAAAACCCTGGACGACTAAGGAAGCTTGTCCTGGCTAAAACGCGGAGGCAAACCGCAGGGAAGCGTCGAAGGGCGAGGCTATGCTTGGGGGACGGAGAGGAGCAGTATCAAGAGCGAGGACGGCAAGCAGCGGAGGGAGATAAGGTAACGTCATCCTGCATAGCTTCCTTTTCCGCATTTGGTCGCATAGAAAGGTTGTGCAAAACGATTGTCGTCTCCTAAATTCTCGACACCCTTTTCCAGCTCTTTGTAGTGAGGTAGGGTTTCAGGGCATGGAAGAAACGCGGCAGGATTAGGCGGGCACTAGGCTTTCAATTGCTGAAAGCTACCCACTCGCTTCTGGTAGTTGGCGATGGCTTTCAGCGATAGAAGACCCATCCAATTCCAACTCGCTAAAATGCCCTAGTGTATGCGTCTGATGTCTCACCAATGCCTGACTCTCTAGTTCTCTTCAGTGCCGCGTTCGGGAACCTGTGGGATTTTTTTGACAGGGGATCGATGACAGGTCTTTGTTGGGTTCCAACGCTTGCCTCTGTTTCCTCCGTAGGTTTCTGAGGTTTGTTCAAAGTGTGTGAAAGTTCAGTTTGTGAAATTCTCAATCATGAAAGGTTTGCAGTTATCAGCCGAACAAGAGTTATGGTAACTATAGTTTCTTGGTTTTTGTTGCACTCTGTAAACCGTTGTGTTAGTCCTCTGGGAGGTGGACCACGTCCTTTTGTGACTTCGTACTTCGAATTGCTCTGTTCTACATCTTTGATCTTCAAGAAATTGTTGATTACATTGATTTTACTGTTTCATTCCATGCCTAAGTCTTTTAAGGCGTGCTAGAGACAGACCTCAATGTGTCCAGCTTGGAAATTTGAGGACTGTTCTTTTTCGCTGTGTAGATTTAAAGAAGCGCCAGCTTTTCTTGAATTGGGGTTGTAATTTGGAGCATTAATCCCTTGATTAGTGGAGGAGGGCGCTGGTTTGTTTGAGTTGCAACTACCTTCGAACATGATGATTTCTGCTCTCAATCGATGGACAGCATACTCTTCTCTTGTCTGGTAGAAGCTGCATCGGAGCCTCGACTTGCCCTTTTGTTCGCAAATTTCACCTCGTTCTTCATTTGCACCATTCCAATCTTCCCAACCGAGTTAGCATTTTGAACTCCTTTGCACACCTGTCTCCCTGCATTGGTTCGTTGTTGCACTACTACTGACGCACTGGCATGTTGTCGGAAGGTTTGGGATTCTGTGTCGATGGAGTAAAGGGTATCCTGCGACTGGATTTTAGCTGGTAGTGCGGTCAAACATTACCATGTTTGTTCTCTATCTTCGTCTTGGTGCTTTATAGGATTCACCTGCTGAATTCTTCTCATTTTTCCATAGAATTTTTTTATCGCAGATTCCAATTTGAGGAATCGTTGCTAAATACAGGTTCATTAACACCACGGAGTTTTGTTGTACATGCTACTATAGTGTGCAGCAAGTGTAGCTCTTCTAGCGTCAGGCTGATCGACATTTAAAGTTTTCTTACAAAGGATCAATGCAGGAATTTTGTGGCCAGTTTAGGTGCATTAGTTATCTTCAGTTAGCGAACATATTGAAGGAGATATGTGCACCATTGAACTTTCTGTTTTGTTTGCCATTGAATGGTGCCATCCAACAAAAAAAATGGTATTGATGTGTCCGTTAGCGAAATAGATCTAACAGTTGATGGCGATTCGAGGAGCACCTGTGGCGGTCTTTGGTGGGCAATTGTTGCAGTGGTGATCCAAGGTCAAGGAAGGAGGTGAACTTGTGTTTATCTAGATTGTTGTCTGAATTTGCAGAATTTTTTATGTGTAATGGAGGTAGAAATGGCTCTTTTTTGTCTTTATCACCATAGCAGTAATTTCTGTAGCAGTTCGAAACTGGGTTCGGAGAGTGGTAAGTTACTGAGTGAGAAGCTTGTTCGAGACAAGATGATGAAGCTTTACTAGTTCAATTACCTGAATGAATATGTGTACTTGGAGATTTGGAACCAGTAAACCTTGAGTATACTTCCTTTTTTTTTCTTTTCTTTCCTTTTTTCCTTTTGTCTCATTAGGTTTGATGGTCTTTCTACTTGCAGTGTACCTGTAGAGGTTTCGAGTTGAACTTTTCTTTCTGCATGGCCTCGCAGGAGCAAGCTCATACATGGCCACGCAAAAGTAAAAGTAGAAGTCAATGAGCGCTTTATTACAAATTGCCCTCTGATGGGTTTGCTGATGTCTCATTTTCTAAGGTATGGCGGCTCAAATTGGGGATGGTGAAGTGACTGAGATCAAAGAAGAGGCAATTGACAAGCCATCTGCTAAGCGCAAGGCAGATGCTCCAAGTCACCGGAAAGACAAGACTTCACGATGTCTTGTGGATTCTTCGCACGTGTGCGCGTTGGAAGCTGCTTTTCATCATCATTTTGCAGTGTACAGTAAGGATCGGAAGACTGTGAACCAAATCATTCCAAGTGTTGTTTGGAAAGCAGTTTACTCTCAGTACAAAAGAATCTTTCCCAACTCAAAATTTCAGCAAGAGAGCCTGAAAGACCGCCTTCGAGAAATGATTAAGGAAAAGAAAACTGAAAATTCTGCCCAACTGGGCACAGAGAAAGCTGTTTCGCAAAGTGAGGAGGTCCTGATCCACTTGAAAAGCCCTGATGAGTATGCAAACGGAAATGATCCAAGAAGTAGACGATTCTTGATTGAAGAGATACCTACAGCACTTGGCTCAGTTGCAAATCCGAGCTCCAGTAGGTCTGATGTCCCCCCAACCTGGCTTCCAAATGCCCTTCTGGCCAGTCAAGAAAAGCAGATGGTAAAAGTGCAGATGTTGCAACAGAAAGTTCCAAGCATTGCTTCCTTGACTACCCAATTTCAAGATTCCTCTCAGAAACAGGATGCTTTGTTAAGTGCCGAGCTAGCTATCAGTTTAGAGAAGCTGAACAAGCACAAAATTGCTAACCTGAAGAGTGCTAGAGATCTAGGAGTGATCAGCGAGGAGGAGTTCAAAGAGAAGGTTAAAACACTTCTGAACCTGTAGTTCACCAATGGTTTTACATGTGATCAAGTTGGTCCACCCAGCAGCAGTTACGATGAGCTACCAGCAACTTCCTCGATATAAACTAATTGCACAAATTACTAAATAATTAATAAGTAGCAGCTATGAAATCATCACATTTTATTAACTTTTTTTAGATAACTCTTACTTATAGCTGCACTTTAAACTTAATCAATAATCAGATCTCTACGAACTCTTTGAAGCTAATGAAATATCGTGATGAGGCTGCAAGCCACAACAGCATGAACACCTTCCTTTCCTGCAGAAGTAGGTTCGAATGAAATGACAAAGCGCAATAACGCTGTCCTCCAAATAGCCATCTCTAGACCAGACAAACTGATTTTCGCAAATGACAACCCAAATGATCGGCACTCATTATGCCAGAAACCAGCATCATGTTGATCATAGCATAGTCTAAATCCAAACCTGTGAATTCACAAGACTTAAAAATTCAAGTATCATCGTAACACGATTGCATGATCAATTTCATTCCCTAGGTCATGTTGACTCTCCTCTTATATAATGTGGTAGCATCTATTATGAATTTACAGAATAGCAATGCTACGATCTGGGGTGTGCCAAGGCGCATGGCTGACTACTCAATTTGTATTCAAGTCTTTTTTTCAGAAATCATCGGGCATAGCGTTTTGAATAAACATGAGCACACAAGAATCAAAGAACTTTGAGCATGTTCTCTAAATTTGCTAAATGATCACAAACCAGGTTCAGTGCTCAAATATGAGTAAGCAAACGTTTAGCTTATACTGCAAGTCGATGCTGGAAAAACATACTTCTAACCCAATCATGAAGCAGAAAAGAATAAATGCTTCCTCCACGTTGCACATTTAAATGGGAAGCAGCGAATTGCCCTAGTATAATCAGATGACCTTACCAATGCGTTGAACATATTTGGAGCACTCATGAAATGATGAACCCATCCAATGATCTCAAGAAATTATCGATGTATTATACAGATGGCAGGGAATAAATACCTGCAAGGTCATCAAAACCACACAAGAGGGAGTACCTATCTTTTTCGATCTTCCCACACCCACTACGAAGCAGACAATGATGCTTCGTGTATGCTGAAGATAATAGCTACACCCTGTTAGAAGACCACTACAAGGCTATGGATGCTGTGCTGGCAGATGATAGATGAGTGTCGCTAAAACCATCTTCAAAACGTAATCTAGAATCCTCCTGACGTAATTGCCATTGGCACAACAAAACTGTGTGTGATCCTAGGGTCAGGTAGATCAAAACCCAGAGGCATGAATCACGCCCAGGTACGATACAATTCTCTTGAAGTGGTAATCAAATGATTCTCAAATTCAAGACATCCAGCTATTCGTGATTCTCAACCTTCGGCCTTTTCCGTGCAGGTTCAGACTCTGGAACTGATGGTGCTGGTCGGGTCCTGCCCTGAGATTGATGACTTTGAGCGGAGGACTCCGGCGTTGTAGCAACCTGGCGTTTATACCAAAATCCAAGTATTAGACTCCCAAACATGCTCTATGCAAATGTCAGCTTAAGGTTTTACGGTAACTAATGTATGAACAATTTCCAATCACTCCCAAAACAAAGCATAATACGTCTACCAATCACCAATAAGATACTCAGGATGTTCCGCGAACATTTTCTATTTGTTCACCTTGGCTGAAGTATCACCAGGAGCTACTGTAGCGTTCTTCCCGAGATCAATTTGGACAGATATATTTGCTCGACTCAAATCAACTCCGGAACTCTGCAATGCTCGTGTCAAAGTGTCCAACAACCTGCCAAATTTGGATGAAATAATTTAAGTGAACAGAATTTAATCAAACTTAAAAAGTGAGCGAGCAAAATTAGAACTTCCTTTCAAAGTAGTGGCTCCATTCACATCCTTACCAAACATTAGAACAAGGAGCAAGCCAGAGGACAAACGATTCTCTGTAAAATTAAATCAAGCATGTGGACTATAGATTTTTCCTCACCCTTGAGAGTACACAGAAGACACGTTGATGACTCCTCCTTGTATACGTGGAAAAGGTTGAGGAATATTAGGAAAAACGGCAAAGCCATCTCGAGTAGCCATATGATCATTCTGATTTGTCTGTGGATGCCTTGTGTGTTTGTTTGCGTCCTCTTTGTGTTGAGGTCCTCCTTGTGGTTGCCTAGGAGCACTGGATAGCAGCCCTGCTTGGACCCCATCCATTCTACCTACAATTGTTGTAGCTGACATCTGATGGTCTTTTGGTTGATGGTCAGAGTTCTGGTCAGCTTGGCCGGAAGAGATGCGAGGCCTCACTTCGAACTGGTGATCTGGGGTAGTGTCATGAGCATACCCATTCTCACGAGAGCTCACAAGGTCCATATCACTCGTCTTCTCCTTCCTAGGAGCATTTGAATTTGAAGCAGGTGTGCCTCGGTTACTGTCCTGCTCACGTTGCCCCTTGGAGGGGACTATGGGAAAGGCATGTGGTGATGGAATGGCCTGCTGAAGAGGGACTCCAACTGCAGTAACAGCAGTAGCACTCTCTTTTTCACCACCTAACGATGAAACACAGCTGTGTATGCTACAAGCTGGACGACTAGAGGCCTGTTGGGCATTGAGGCCCCCAGTCGAATGAGCTTCAGAAATGGGTGCTGCCTCTTCAGAAGAACGTGGCACACGGTCAGCGGGTACTTCTGTTCCTGGTTTGATATCTACAGACCTAACTCCCGAGTTGAGGTCCTTGGCGAAGACCAGCGCATTGATTTGAGATGTCTCGTCTCCTGATCCTGCCGCACCTCGCTGCAAAGAAATAGAACAGAATATGTCACTAACACCTACAAGGACGACACCTGAAACATTGAACGAGAGAAAACTGGAAACCCGTAGCTATTTACTGCATAAGCATTGAACAAAGGCACAACGATGGTTAGTAGTTTTCACCTTGCAGAGATCCCAGACCATAGACTTGAGTCTTTCTTGATGCCTTCCTTGCTCCACAGTTTCATATTTCCGTACCTTATCCTGGAGGACTTGGATATATTCTATAACCTGGGTGCAAATACAACTTACATGAGACCATTCTGATGTAATCAGGCTCACCGCACACTGCGCTATGGTGGGCACGCCCACGTACAGAACAGCCAATTAAATACAAGTACATCACAAGTATGCAGATCTGTTACCTCAAGTAAGAAGGAAGCTTTATCTCGCTTCTGATCACTGTGAGGAACCAAATCTCTGAGCATTTGAAACCTGTCATTGATTTTACTACGCCTCCGTTGCTCAGTGGCTGAGTGCTTAGACCTAGGTGTGACACCTCTTAAATCTGCGTTCTTCGAATCCATTCTCTGTGCTCCATCCCCTGATCATGGTAGGAATTTCTATGCAGTCAAGATGGTGACCCAGAAATTTGTGGAGCCACGAGGTCGGCAAGTTCAACACGAGAGCAAGTTGCACACGCAGCAGAAATGACTCTCGCATAAAGCTCATTCCAACCTTCACACATAATAGAGAACCTTTAAGAGTGAATTTACTTCAAGTGAGTGTCTATTGAACCCACCTTTGCGCAACATTGGCTCTTTCCGATTTACTTTAGGCCGCTCAGATGAATCCTCGTCATCGTCTTCATCCTCGTCGGATGGTGGTCGTGCGGGTCGTTTCGGGGATTCAATCATACCTTGGGCGGCTTGTGCCCAATGCCTACAAAATCCACTCTGAAGTCAGAATAAGCTCCAAATTCTTCAGGTCTCCAAAGAACTGGACACCAAAGACCAATCCCCCAGCTTCTGCTACAGTTTCCAGAGACATGCTCAATAAATTTATTGAGTAGGTTTTGAAATCTTACTTGGTCATAGTGGGTAGTAACTGATGTCCATTCTCAACTACACTCTTCGCTGCTGGGTTTCCTGCAGTAAAGGTTAAATCTGGTGGCATACCGAATTGGAATCTCACACCTGGCCAATGTGCAAGGTTCTCTGCATCACAAAACAAATGCAAATTAATAAGTTATTTTACGGCACAGTCCACAACTTATAAGACAGACATCCACCTCACAATCATCAGCTGGGAAAGGCGTAGTCGCGACGCTAACCTTGTGCATTAGCAGCTTCTGGGCCTACGGCTATCTCCACGCCTTTGAAGGTCTCAGAACCGCTGTGATCCTCCCGTGACGAGAGAGTCGCTATGGGATAATTCCTGCCTTGACGCACGGCCTCAGCCTCACCCACCATGCGAAGCATAGAATTTGGAGGCACCGTGTAAGGGACCTTGATGGCTGCGTAATTAGGCGAGGAAGTGGGATGAGCCTGTTCACCCGGGCCCGGAGTGGAGTGACGAGACTGCCCATTCTCTCCACTTGAGTGTTTCTCACGTAGCACGGGCGCGTCTCTACTCGTTGGCCGGGCTCCATTTCTTTCCAATGGTTGAAGAAAATCATGTGTGGTGAGTGATGAAGATAATCCTGAATCAGCAACCAGACAAAGAATCAGATCACCTAACAAGTCTAACCTTTACATCGCAATTTTCACTGCCAACTGAGAGAAATTATTGACAGACACGAAAAGATGAGCCAAGCTAAATCTTACCGGCACTAGACACGTTTTCCGCTTGCTGTGACCCTTTGTCGTAAAGAGAAAGAAAGTCGTGTGTGGACGGTTTAGTATCTGAAAAAACCAAAATGCTTTGCGATCAGCACTCAATAATCAAACGAAATTGAATAATGCCTCAAGTCTGCATCATTGAGCATCGTGACCTTATTGACCCATATTGACATTAAAAGAAGATCCTCAGCACCAGGTCCAGCACACTGAAAACCTAGCGCAATGCCTGTCAGCGGTTACTGCATGTCGCTCCACAACAACAGAGGACTCCCAGAGATCATTCAAGAGAGGTCCAAAAAAAAAAACAAAAACAAAAACAAACAAACAAACAAACAAACAAACAAAAAAAAAAAAAAACAACCAGAAAACATTTTTAAAAATAAATAAAAAAAATAAACGCTACGCAGAGCCACAGCACTCCCTCAAATCCGTCGCCATTGTTTTCCAAGCGAAGTCAGAAACACGAGTGGTGAGCAACATTCATAGGTAATCTGAATCCCTTCGAGACTCAAGGTGCTATACTTTCCCAGCAGTGAAGAGCTGTTCACCTTCGCTGTGTGCGAAATGGCGGGACTGAGCCCTTTCTGCGTGCTGCTGCGCCATGGTATATCTGTGCACAACCTGAAACTCCCGTTGCTGCTGCGTGACGGAATCCCCTGGCGCCAACTCCCCGAAGCTACTGTACCCCAGGGAAGAAGAAGATCTTATGGCCCTCTCAGGCACTAGCTGCTTCTGTCCCGCGGTGGCGACAAACGCCATCTACCTAGTACAAAACTCTTCTTCGTCTGGCGGCTGCATGTAGAACCACTAACTCCTTGCACGTGCTGCCCCTCTTCGATATTTCTCAAGAAACCGCTCCCAAAAACTCGCCTCCAAAACCTCGAACAATTCCTCACTAGTTTCTTCGCCAAGGTTTACTGATCGATCCAAGGCTAGCTACGTAGTTGATGCTTTAACCTGGTTACCGTCTCCTCCAAGCATTCACTCCCTCCCTCAACGGTTGACCTCTCCACAGTGGGGAATCCCAAATCCTTTCCAACAGTCTAACACTTGATCCTCTTTATCCTCTTAACCTTGCTCTTCATCCTGCACGCATGGAGAACGTCCCGCTTGAAGCGTCAACATCCAGTGCCCACCCACGCATGCGTCCTGCTCATCATGCGCTTCCACAGCTGCTGCACCCAATTTGTGTGTGGTTCCCCTGGTGGGGACTACCCTGGGGTCGAATTCACGTGTCCATCGTGAATGAATGTCCACAACATGCGCATGCACGGACAACCGGGCGCAAACCCTGGAACCCACTCTCCGGGTCGCACCACACTCTCCTCCTCCTCTTCCTCTCTCCCTCTCAACGCACCCTCATCTCACCCACACCACCACCACCACTTAAACACTCCTCACACCTTCGATCCTCCACTCTCGCACTCTCACTTTTACACACACACTGTCTTCCAAATGTAACCCACGACTCAATCAACCAAAATGAGAACCAAACATGAGCAACGCACTCCCTGCAAACTCTGCAGACTCTGGAACTCTCCGCACACAAGACCAAGCGACAGGCCTTTTCTCTCATCGCCCTTCTGCTTCGTCCCTCCCTCTCCTCCCTCTCCTCCTTCACACCAGTGGCGCTTGCCAGAGCATGAGCCAAGTAGCTGGCCAGATAGACTGCAATCCCACTGACAGAAAGCAATATTATTTTTTTCTCGTGTGACGGGATTGAATTCAACCGCGAGCGCGAGGCCTGGGTAGGCACTGGGTTTGGCCCCCCAGGCAGGCAGCCCACCAATGCGACACACCCCCCCCCCTTTCCAAACCCACCCACGGCCATGGGCGCTCCTTCCCCGCCCTCCCCTACCCTCCCGGTTTCAAGGTTCGCTCACTCGCTCTTTCAAAGGGGGGCATCATCATGTAACTAAGTCAGCCAGTCAGTCAGTCAGTCAGCTCTTCGTGCAGCAAGCAGCACAACTCTCTCCCCTAGAATCTTGTTTGTTCCTAGATATCCAGTCACTAGAGCGAGGAGACACCTTGCTGTCGACGCATATCACACACACACCCTTTCTTTCATCTCTGCTTCACTTCACCTCTCTCTCTCTCTCTCTCTCTCTCTCACATTCATGCCTTTGGACCACAAACTACCTCGATGATCCCTTCCTCTCAAAACCCAACTCTCCACCCACATTAACTACACCCCTAAATATATCACTTTCAACTCTTTTGAAATCCAAAACAGTACTTACATACATGTTTACATACTGTTCTTTGTATTAGTGGAGCTATGTGTTGTTCAGCGTGGGAAATAGTTCATGCGAGTAGTCATTTAATTTCCTAGTATTGATATTAATTCCCACTAAACTTCACTATCGGTTTCACTTTCCATCAAACGCGAAGCCATGCAAACAAATCCATGACCAAATTCAAGACCAACAAGCAAGCAACCTCGAAACAAGGTAAAGATAAGAAAAGAGCAAAAGAAAAAGGCAACTGAATGGGAAAAAGGGAAAGAAACAAGTGCAGAAATGGAGAGAGGGATCCCACCCCCTTTCACAACCTCCTCCTCCTCCACACACAACGTGCACCCTCAAGCCATGTGTCCCCCCCCCCTCTCTCTCTCTCTCTCTCTCTTTTTCTTTTTCTTTATTTTTGTTGGATAGAGCACATGATGCCACACACGGAGACAAGCTTTGTATGATTGAAGTGCTGGTCAAGCCAACCACTTGGGAAGGGTCCAGGGGACCACTTCCTTCTTCCGCCCCTTCCCTGCCAACACCCCCTCAGAGGCTCAGCAATGCTTGATAGAGAGAAAAAAACGTGATAAGGATGGCTATTTGCTCAATATTTATAAATAATTAAAAAAGGGGGGTTCCAGGGATTATTTTTCTTTTTATTTGCCTCGCAAAGCTGGCCACCCATTGTTGATGTTGAGGGGCACTAAGGGGGTGTGTGAGAGGGTGGGGTGGGTGGGAGGGTGTGTGAATAGGGTTGAGCCCCCCTCACCCACAAACCTGGTCTCCTCCCCTCTCTGCGATGGACATTCAGAGCCTTTTTTCTGAGACGGAAATGGGGTATTCTATTAATGACCGTGTTGACGCCTGAGTGTTCCATATGCCACGGTTATAGATGTAACGTGACGTCAGCCCCTATGGGTCCATAGAGGGAGGCAAAGGACTTGATCTCCTGAGCATGCACACTTTTCTTTTTCTTTTCGTTTTTTTTTCCCTTCAAAATGTGCCTGAAATTAATTGACTTCGCCTTCTTCCTTTCACGAGATATTTCCATCGTTCTTTCCTTTGGCTTCTTGAAACCATTTTTTCTCTTTTCTGAAAGCAAAAGGGTCTTTAAAATTATAGTATTTTATCCATTGTAAAGTTCACTCTGTATTAATTAGTGGGATTATCCTCAACCCATCAACAAATAAGCTTCCTGGACACCTCCCCAATAACATAAAACACGTATTTAATGCTATTAATACACCTCGTGACTTTATCACAACTATGTAGAATTTAATTATATTTAAACTACTTCTACTTGGTATCATTTTACAACCTGCTTGGGTAGTTTAATCATGTTGGATATTTCTTTAATAACTATTAAGGTTATATATATATATATATATATATATCTTGTCTTATTCAACTACTGATTTTTTATAAAACAATTGTTAACTAAATTATTTATACATATTTCAAAATATATAAGTTGATTCTTAAATAGATCATATCTATTTTTGACATGCTTCAGTTAGACTAATTATAATGTATGTTTTAAACATTAGATTCTTTTCAATTGAGAATTAAATAACTAAAATCATTTAAATTATCATAATTAGAGAACAAAACATATTTCTAAACAACTTCTGAAAATTTCAAAATCCGTTTTAAATCTCTTGTGTATTTGTACCAATTTTGTAGGTTTTTAGAAATTTTTAGAATCTTCTGGAACCTTCGTTAACCTTTTAGAACTAATGATAAAAAAAATTATAAATGTTTACAAAATTTTGTAGCTATTCTCATCTCCCCTCCTAAATGTTTTACTAAACCTATTTGATATAATATAATTAGAATGACAAGGTAAGGAGTAACTTAGTGTTGCTAATACAAATTTTAGAATAGTCAAAGTATTATCTTGTTCTTATTTTGTACTTAGTCTTGTTTCTAATCTAGTATCTTCATTGTCTTTTAAACAAGAATAATAATAATAATAATAATAATAATAAAAATAATCATAGTTCATCTTGAATATAAACTAAAGCATTTATGTATGTATGTATATATATATATATATATATATATATATATAATAAAATATTTACATCTTCTTTTACACTACTTAATACTTTAATTTGTAAGTTCAATGTAGTTTTATTTGGAAAATTTAATGAATATAAGGATACATTTGACCAAAAAAATGTAGATGTGATATTAAAGCATGAATCATATGATTGTCCAATAAAATTAAATAAAGAAACATGTCTTTTTATTAATCAGTTTATAACTTTTTGCAAGTTAATTATAAAAGTTATAAATTTTATTATAAAAATATATTATTAAATCTTATTTAAAAACTACTTCTGACATTCAATGTTGCAAAAGAAACTAGTATATCTATTTCCTTAAAATGACCTATTAAAATGAATGCGAATTTTTAATAATTAAAAAAATAATTATTTTTAATAATTATTTTTTTACAATTGGTTTTAGGATTACTGCAGCAACTTAAAACAAGTAATGGTTTATGCAAATATCTACTTTACTAGTACTACAATTCACAAAAAAAAAAAAAAAAAAAAAAAAAAAACTTGAGAAATAAATAAAAAAAGTAAAAAAATTCACAAGATATGGATGGTTTGTATACAATATTATTCTATTTAAAGTAACTAAATATTCTTGCAATGATACTATAATGTATATATGTTTACATGTATATATATATATATATATATATGTATATTTATGTACTATTAAATTTTGGAATAAATCAATAGTTCTTTGAAGAAGTCAAGATTTTTTTTGTTTAAACTTCTTATTAAACTTGTTACTAAGAGATTTCATGGATATATAACAAACTACAATTTCTAAAATCTTACATTCTACATCCTTGTAAAATATATATATATATATATATATATATATATATTTTACTACTTTTTGCAGATCTTTAAAAATGTTTGGTTCTTTTAAATTCTTTTGCATTATTTTAGAAACTTCTTTTGCTGTTCCAAATCTTTCATAATATCAATGAGATTTTCCACAAGATTTTATCAATTTTCTTATTGGTAACTGTATTAGATGTAAAAATTTATCAGATGTAAAAAATTATTTGATCCAAGTATTTATAGTAAGAAATTATAACATTAAATTTTAGCTATAAAAATGATATATAATAATAAAAAAATCATCCCATCTTTTTTGGCATTTTAATGATAAGATTGTAGAATTTGAGAATGATAAAATTAAAAATATTCTTAAAAAAAATTATTATTAAAATTTATTATAATTTCAGTGCTATACATATAAACTAGTATATTGTAGGTTTTAATAGCTCTTGTCTTTTCTGACTTTGATGCCAAATTTATGCCTGCATGTGATGTTGAACTTAGCATGCTTTCATCAATAAATTTTTCATAGTAGGAGAATAAAAATAAAAATCTAACTTCAAAATTTAAAAATGTGTTTTTGAAACTACTTCCGTCTTAAAAATAAAAAAATCTTTAAAAATAAAAAATAGAAAATAAAAATTATTAATGAATTGAGATTCAATCAACAAGTAATAATGCTTGTTGGAACTTACCATAAACCAAATGTGAAATATAGATTTCCTTAAAATAAAAAACAAAAAAACAAAAACAAAAACAAAAAACAAATGATGATGAACTCTAGAATAATTTGGATTTAGCCATTGCAATGAATTTATATATCTACTTGTATAAGCAGTCTAGCTCCTACATTTTCAGCTATTTTATCCAGTGGAGTTTCTTCACTACAAACAAGCTAATCATTAAATTCTAATTTCACAAACATGTGACTTTTTAACTAGTTAATATTCTGACGTTAATCCTCTATGGCAACATATTTGATTTCAATATAGAAATCAATACATAAATATAACCTTAACTAGAACTTTCTAAAGTGACACCAAAGTAAAATTTTATGATAGAAGCTATGATAGAAGAGTGGTCAAGAGCGCTATGCATGAAGGGGGGGGGGGTCCATGAGAGTCATGTTAAAGAACAGAAAATGAAAAGAAAAAAGGAAAAGGGAAAGAAATGAGACAGGCATGGAAAGACAGAGCAAGCACTGGATGGAAGTGGATATGTGCCATGTGCCCCAAAGGCGTGGGCGGTTGTAGGTCCCAGAGGGGAATAGTGTGAGAGGTCGGTGGTAGGCATGTGCCGCATCGACAGTGCTGCCCTGCCTGCCTCCGCTCTACCTTTTCCACGAAATAAACCAGGACGCTGTTTCCTAGGCAGCTTCCCTCCCTACCTCACTCCCCTCCAAAGCTTACATTGTGTCTCATTTTCTAAACAAGTATTGGATACGAATTTGTGTAGAGATAAGGGTACTATAGGTGTGAAGGAAGGACCATAGGGCAGGATAGGGAAAACCCTTCTTTTCTGTTGTACTATTACAAAAGAAAACAAACAAAAATATAAGTTTTAGAAGATAGACACAATGGATATTTTCTGGTGGCATTATTTCTTTTATTTAGATCATAAAAGTGTAAAGTGGATCATATTGGAAATGTGTGCTCATTGTCTCCTGTATTGAGTTCGCCAACAATGGCCAAACTGTGGACCCTTTGCGTGTTCTAACTGTAAAATATAACAATATTTGGGGAAGTATGGAATCAATCTGAACACACAAATGTCTTGTCATTGATTGGTGGTGTGTGTGTTTTGGACCATGTGGGGAACAATGTAACGACTTGATCTTTACTCAAGAAGTATGAACAACAGAAATAAAGAAAGAAAAATCAATTAACTTATTTGTACAGAAAAGGGAAAAAAGAAAACATGGTACTGGTTGATATAATATAATAGAGCCAAATGGCATAAAGATTTTGGACATCATACAAATCCCCCTAAAATGAACTCAAGTTCATCAAGGACTTCTATGAAACATAAGGATCTACCCTATTATACTTCAGGAAATAAAACAATAAATGAAACGATGTTGCTCAGCCGTACAACTCACATGCTGAGACAAGGCCACTAAAAGATACAGCACGAGATAGATACACTGCGGCAGTGTTATCTACTATATTATATATTTATAGAGAACATAATGCAAGCGTAACAATAGACCTGGTAGCATCGGGTCTACTTCGCCATGCAGCTAATCACCATCTGCCCCGACCAAGAGCCTTTGCACCAGAATCATTACTATAATTTCCACTTTGGCTTGGTTGCGATAGCCTGCTAACACACACACGCACACACCAGTGGACTCTCGCAGGTGGGTGGTAAAGCTGGACCTTAGCGATGGAGGTCGGAACCGAGAAAAGGCAGTGGAGGGGAGGAAGAGCGGGAGAAAGCAAAGTCTGAGGAAAAGAAAGCGCGAAACCAGGCAGGCAGGCAGTCAGGCAGGGAGAGGGAGTGGAATCAGTCCCCTGCCTTGCTTGCTCCCTGCCTTCCAGGTCCGACGGGGGATGGATCACCGCACGGCACGGCACGGCACGGCACGGCAAGGCAGGCGGAGACGGGGATCAGGGCGCGGAAGGAAGGTGAGGCAGGCATGTAGGCAGGCGGAGAGAGGGAGGGAGCATTGATCAGGAGTCGGACGCGGCGTGGAAGCCAGGGAGGCACGTGGGGGTAACGACCAGGTCGTGCAGCACCCTGGACTGCCTGGTCGATGCCTGCCTGCCCGTGCAATGCCCCCAGTGGACATCCTGATGTGGCCGTGCAGGCAGGCAGCCAGGCATCTGCACTCATAAGCCTATTCTGCATCCATGGCGAAAGCTATTTCGAGAGCTAGAGAGAGACCGAGACCGAGACCAAGAGTGAGCGTTTTACTGTCCAACCGTGCTCCATGCACTCTGTAGAATCTACCCACATGCACTTAAGAAAGCCACGTTCTATCCACACGCCTACGCCTAGCAAGGCAGACAGCTCTGAGTTTCACTACAGTCATCACTAGAAACAGAATCGACTGTGCAGCTACACTCGTATCGCACCACACGCATCCCCAATCACCGCGACCAAGTGTCCAGGTCTATCGACCTTCCGCATCGCGGCCAACGGAACACTGGGACCATCTGCCACGAGGGGTAAAGGTTATTTCAATGAGGCATCTTGGAGACACGTGGGGCCTGGCATTGCATCGCCACCCTACACGTCTGAGGCAATAGGGAGTGTGAACAGCGTAGATGGGAGTCGATGCGGGCTGTAGTGTCAATCTCTGATTTGCAGCGAAGTAGAAGGAGCCGGAGGTTTCGTGATAGGCGCAATGTGGGACATGTTTCTGGCTGGGTCCACCTTTCGTCACGTGTGGAGCTTGTCGTCATGGAACGCGAGCGAGGCAGAAGCAGGGAGGATAGTGTACAGTCAGTTCTGTTCGATTGTCGTTTGCTGGAATAGTTTTCGGGATAAGAGCTAGAGTGCGTTCGATGACGCTATTCCAGGCGATCACGGGACACTGGCGCGAGACGTGTGGCAGCGACAGGGTGCGCTTGGATGGCGATGGAGCTACCTGCTTCTTTTTCATGCTTTTTCATGCTTTTTCATGCAATGCATCTGTGGAACAGATTTACCGCTGGAATCCGCGCGTGGGGATGGATGCAACCTAAGCCAAGCCAAGCCAGGAGGACGAGGAGGAGGAGAAGAATGAGAATGCCCTGCTTCGTGCGTAGCTTCGTTGCCATACGGGAATGAATTATGCTGCCATGGATCCTCTCGCTAACGTCCTCACCTGCCAGGCAAGTACTCCAGCCTTTGCTAAAAGAAAGAAACATATGTATATATTTGTATATACATATTTGAAGGTGTTTACATTGGCTCTGGAGACTGATTCTAAGTAGGAAATTTTGACCTCACTGGGGTTGTGATTCCAATGGCTAGTTTTTTCTTCTCCGGAAGTGCCTATCATATATATCAAGCTTGATCCATGCTTTGGCAAATTTGTTAAGGTTATCTTTGTTATTTCTGTGAGTATTTCCTGATTAATTATATAGTCTTCAGTGAGACATTATCCTCTTCTTCAACACATCTAAAAACAGTTCTTCTCTAAAGTTGTAACCAAAGAATACACTAATGTTTACACATACACACACCTATTGGGAGTGAGATGGTTAATTCAAATAAAATGAAATTAAAATAGACCGCACATTCCATACATTGAGTATAACCAATTGCTCACAATAACTTATTCAAAAATTTCTAATATATATACATATGTACATATTCCTTTTATGTGATTTTTTTTGTAGGTGATAGACTAACATTGTGTCATTAAAAGTCATGAGTTGCACGTTGTGACTCTGCCATCCAGTGGTTAAAGTTTAATTATGTATATATATATATATATATATATATATTTTTTTTTTATTACTATTGGCATTGAAATGTATCTAAGAGAAAGTTTTGTTTGTTTAATAAACAGTTTGTTTTTGTTTTTGTTTTGTTTTTTTTTTTTTTTGAAACAAAGCATCAAATGATTCAAATGAAAACTTCCCATATTTTGAAAAAAAATCCCTCAAAAAGGGTCATTTAATGGAGCCAATTGCATTTGACCTTCATCACATGTTTTTGTTTTTACCACACGGAGCACCTGCCAGGTTAAGGAGTATGCTACGTCAGCAATACATTGAAAATTTATAGGATTTAAACACTTTCTGCACCAGCTACTTGAAATTACCATTCACTTCCCCAGATTAAAGAGGAGTTAAATTGACTGAACTTTCAAGAAGAGGTTTTTGATATTGCTACATAAATCTATCTTATAAATTGTATGATGATATTATGTTCAGCACAGTTCATACTTTCGGGTTTTTCACATAATTTTAAAATATTGTGATAAAGTTTTATTTTTTAGTTTTTAGTTTTTTTATAGAATTGTAGAAAAAAAAGTTGATTTCATATTGTGACACAAATATTTTCCCACATGATTTCTTTTGAACTGCATTAGAAGGAATTAATGTAATAGTCACAACACACACACGTGCATTGTGCAGACACAGGTTTGGGATTGCATGGTAGTTTATTTCCATGTCAAAGCCAAACAAGATGATCATAAAACTTCTAAATATGAAATTGGGCAGAGACGGAGCCGAAATGGTGGTGGGGGTGGGGGTGGGTTGCGTGGCTATGCAAGTTGTCTGGACGCATGGTGCGAAATCTCACGAGGCTATGGTGGTGAGAATCATGGTGCTCTCTCTCTCTCTTGACGCCGAAGGTAGCTGAATCTGAGCCCATCCCAATAACCGAAGAAAGGGAAAGAGAAAGAGAGAGGGGGAACTGTGCCCCATAACCACGACAGAAAGTCCATGAGGCAGGAGACACGATTCTGGGTTCCAGCACGTGATAAGTCACACACACCCTTCTTCACTTTTGCGAGAAAAAGGCCCTTCTAGCTCAGGAGCATCAAAGCCCCAAAGCCATCTGCCATGCGTCACCACCTGACCTCACGGCACCTGATCCCACCCCCACTTCCCTCTAGCGAAAATAAAATAAAACAAAAACACAAAACAAAAATCGAAAAAAACACAGAGAGCTCAAGAACACGGTCAGTCCGTTCTATCACTGGTCGCGGTGGCACCTAACGTGAGTCATCGTCCATCAATCAATGACCACCCCTCGCAACCATCCTCGGATGCAACCTGACATGAGGCCTGATCCAATCTGATCGAGTCCTCATCGAGCTCCTCCTCCTGGGTGGCGGATGAGAACAGGATCCGATTCTTTCCAGAGATGAAGAAGAAGAAGAAGCCTGGCAACGTCGAGGGTCGCATCTTGTGGGGGGATAGTATAAGTTGCTGTCCACGATCGCCACATGGGTATTTATATATATATTATTCAGTGGCTCATCGCCACCGTAAACCAGTGAACGGGATCACTGGTCGTTGTGGCACACAACGTGAGCCATGATTGAGCAATCGATGTGCTCTAATCGACTGTGTTCTAATTTAATGCTAGAGGTGGATTCGAATCCGTATTTAGTAGATTAAGGCAGTGACCCGTCGACCTCAGATGGCCTTCCCAAGGAATAAAAAAATAACACAAACGAGTTTTATAATATATTTGTATTGTTCTGTTTTCTTAATAAATTTTAAATGCATCAGACGGTTCGTACATGGTATGGTAGTCTGTGGTTATAGGACGACGTTGGCCATCCCTCATGGACGACCTGCTACGCGGTGGAGGGATTCGCTGCAGTAACAACTAACTTTTTAGTAAGCAACTTGATTCCTGAAATTCTTGAGTAAACATGCACAAATCGCATGTCGCGTTGTAGCGAAAACGAGGTACGAGCGCCAAGTGGCTACCCCCGTCTTGAGGGATCGGTTTCAGTTATGTCAAATATACATATTTTAACTTCTAGAAATTTCACTGCAAGCATGTATTGAGTATGTTGTGTGCTTCAAGGCCTTGCTCAACCCTACACATTCTCCAAATCACGCAATAAAGACTATTTATTGCCTATCTTACTAATTGGGGTATACGGAATCCATTCTTGCGGGAGCATTTTTTGGTTTAAGTAGAAACACATGATCTATGACGGCCTTGAGAAAAGAAAATATACAGAGATAGAAAAACGGTATGGAGGATGTACATTTGCGCCGGGAATAGGTATCAAGAAGGGGTGTTGTGAATAGGGTATAATCAAAGATCACATTCGAACTGTTTTAGAAGAACGCCTTGTGTGGTAATCTTGTATGCCTTTGGCCGAAGTTGCACAGAGACCCAATGGAACCTTTGCACGCTGCATCCATGAATCAGTTTTCAGTTGGATGTACCTCATTGCTTGTCTACGAGCCTCTTGATCAAGCCTTTCTCCACATCAGCGCAGCTTCGTCTCCGCATATCCTGATTGACCATGAGGATGTTGTGAACTCAAAAGACTGATCGTGACATCTCTTCGTGCCCTACCTCTCTTAAAGTACCAAGCTTTACTGCGGACTACGTACATTAGTACGCCCATAGCGCTTAACACAATTGACTACCTTCTTTGATCCTAAAACAGCCCAAACATAAGTCCTTGCATTTACAATATTTGACACGAAAAGTGTCCTTCGCAGGAGGCAGAAAGAAACTTGCACAATTCCACATCCTTTGCCCCAGCTTAAATTAGTCAAGGTTTCTGATACAGAATTCCCTGCACGTGGTGTTGATCATATACAGGTCTATCACGAGTTTGGTTCATCTGGTCAATCTGCCGGGACATTTCAGGGATCGTGTCTTGAAAAGGATGACAAATTCTGGTGAACATCAAGCTTCGAAGTCTCGAATTAGGAAATTGAATCCTCACCTGGCGTTCTTGCTGGACTTCATCCACACCATGGTACTTGCAGAAATGCTCCTTGTAGACAAAGAACTCTAAAATGTAGCGCTGAATTTCTTCATCCGGGACAAGTCTGTTGCGGCGCTCAATGTCCAGTCCGAAATTTACATCTTTCAAATCCGACTAGTCGTGGTCTAAATTGGCAAATAACCTATCCTAGCATTACGGGCACAATCAAATTGCTCAGAGCCTCAGGTAGCACTCCACAGTTGTAAAGCAAAGTTTGTCTTTCTTTCTTTCTTTTGTCGTCCAACTAAAAACCCCACAGAATGCCCAACTAGCAAATACTCGATCTCCAAGAACGAATTTGAACGACAATTGTCCTCTAAATGACACCTGTCAATGTAATTTGATCAGAATTTACAGGTGTCGTTAAATGGATCGTTAACCCAGTTTACAGCACAATTAGGACTTTGCGAAGAGGTTAAGTGAGTTCAGCAAGCTTACAGCAAATGTAGGCTTAAGACTATGGACTCATGTGTGAACAAATAGGTTCCTCGCAAAGTAGCAACCAGTAGACCCGAGGCAACGAAATCTTATCAATTCCTCCGTAGCAAAGTGGAATTGCGTGGAGAAATTACCTTACAGGACATGCTTGGAATTCAAAGAAGGTATTACCGACGGATTACTTATTACCACGTTTTGCAACAAGTTGTGTAGGCTTTGTTGTTTAAGGGAAGGGAGATTGGATAGGGAAAAAAACATTTTTAAGAGAGATAGATTTCATTTTAAAGTACACAATTATTTTGTGAGAGATAAATCTTTACCATAAAAATTAAACAATGGCTAGCTTATTTCATCTACAAAACTAAAGGAATAGTTGTTCAAGGCCACCAGATTGATAAGAGTTATTTCTTTAGATTAAAAGTAAATTAAAAATAAACCTTATTGAAAAAAATTACTCAATTATTATTTTTATATGCATAACTCTTTTTAAAGTATGTGATGATTTTTTCATTTGCACAAGGTGTTATGCAAGTTTTGAAGGTTTAGCCTTTATTATGATAAATTCACAAAATATGGATTTTTTTGGCATTGCAATCTAAAAACTAATATGAGATATTGATAGAATTGAACAAAAAATAAAACTATAATAATTTTTAATTAAGTAAGAATATTTTTAAATAATTAATTTATAAATTAAATATATCTAATATTAACTAAGAACAAAGAAATATTTAATAATAAATCTTTATTTTAATAATTATTAAAATATAAAAAATTATAAAAAAATTAGTATACGACTTGATTTATTTGTAATACATGCTAAGACACTTGACTAGTATATATTGCAAATAAAAAAAAATTAGTTGAAAAATAAGATACTTTATTATTAATTATTTAAAAAACCATTTGATACTAAAAAAAAATTAAAACTAAATGATGTAAAAAATATCATTGATAAAAAATATGGTTATAATTTAAGTCATTTAGTTATAGTTATAATAGAATTATATAAAATATAAGTGTCTATAAGATATGTATCTATAAGATAAATATCTATTCTTTTTAATTTTTGTAAGTAGCAAAAAATAAAAATAAAAAATATGATATTCTTTATAAAGAATAAAATATGCCATTTATACAATAAATTAAAATACATCAATAAAAAACTTGACAATAAAATAATAACATATCTAATAATTAATTTTAGAGCATTCCAATTTCAAAGACAAAACATCATTTCAAATAAAAAACTATTAAATTATCTGTGAGCCCAAAAGTTGGTTCACATTATTGGTTAAACTAAAAAAATCTAAAAAAAAATGAGGATTTTGACTATGTTTTGTTATAATAAGTTAGTTATAGACATTAATGTTAGTGGCTTATTGATGATTACTAGGAGAAAGAAAAATCAAGGGAGAAGGGAGTGGTGGAAAAGATAAGAAAAAGAGCCAAAAGAAAAAGGAAAAAAAAAAAAAGAGAAAAAAAAGAGAGGGAGTGTGGCCACCCCCACCCTCTTATCCAAGTAGGAAGAGACCAAAGGGTGGCGGCCACATCTCCACCATCCGAATCCACCAACCCTAATCAAGATCAAGGGTCCACATTAATCCTAAGTCCTAAACACGATTTTAAGGCTGGGCATGCCCAAAATCCCCAATTCGAAGTGTCTTTTTTTTGAAAAAACTAACTCCACCAATGTGTTTAAAACATATTTAAACATCAAGTTTGACTATTCATATACCCAAATCTAAGTTCTAGATCATTAAGAACCAACAATTTGACAACCCCATCACAATAAATTTACTTCTAATTATTTTCTTCTCCTTTTTCGTCTTCTTCTCCTTGTCCCTCTTCATCTTCTTCCTTCTCTCTTCTTGACCTTCTTGTTTTTTTTTTTTTTTTTTTTTTTTTTTTTTTTCTTTTGGCTCTTTTTCTTATCTTTTCCACCACTCCCTTCTCCCTTGATTTTTCTTTCTCCTAGTAATCATCAATAAGCCACTAACATTAATGTCTATAACTAACTTATTATAACAAAACATAGTCAAAATCCTCATTTTTTTTTAGATTTTTTTAGTTTAACCAACAATGTGAACCAACTTTTGGGCTCACATAATTGGCGACCATCAGGGGACGAATCCAGCTTGTACTTGCCATTTTTTGTCCTTTAAAGTATTTTCACCATGCCAGTTCATACTGTTGCCTTGTCATAAGATAGAAAGGTGGAGCTCTTGTCCAAAATTGCGCTCCCTCATGTCTTATATTCTTTACACCTGCTACCTGATGTTCGTGTGGGAAACAATTGACCATTCAAGGTCTCCAATTGTACGGAGTTGTTTAAAAACACCTCCTTGACAAGATAAGGACCCAACCATACGGCATCAAACTTGCTTGGAAAGTCGATCTTCCGAGCGTCTTGTAACAATACTAGCATACCAGGTTGCAAGACCCGAGGCTTGTTCTATTTATCAAACACGACCTTGCGCCGCCTCTGGATGGCCTCAATGTGTTGAACCCCTCATCTCCTGCTTTCATCCAACGCCTCGAGCTCGTACAACCTTGTCTTTAAAGATTATCTGTCAGTCAATCTGGAATCTACTGCAATCCGAAGGGATGGAACCTCAAACTCAATTGGTAAAACTGCTTCCAGTCCATAGACTAGAGAGAATGGCGTAGCTTGCGTGGTGACTTTGAATGTTGTTCTATATGTCCATAAGGCGGCTGGCAGTTTCACATCCCAATCACGCTTGGAGTCTCTAACAGTTTTCCTCAATATAGTACCTAGTGTTTGGTTGACTCGCTCTGTCTGACCATTGGTTTGAGGGTGATAGGGTGTAGTCTTTCGGTGATCAATCTGGAATTGCTTAGTCATGGATTCAATCACCTCGTTGAGGAAATGAGTACCTCGATTACTCACAAGGATCTTCGAGACTCCAAATCTAGTAATCACATTCTCAAAGAGAAAGATTGCAGCATTTTTGGCATCATTTGTCCTCACAGCCTTGGCTTTAGCCCACTTAGTGAGATATTTGGTGGCCACTACAATATATGCCATTCCTTGAGATGAATGAGGATGAATCTCTCCCACGTAATCGAGGCCCCACTTCTCGAATGGCACCAATGGTAGGAAAATGTGAAGTGGCAACTACATGTGAAGGTCATTCCTAGCAAATCTCTAACATGCATCACAACGCCTCACATAGGTATGAGCGTCCTTCAAGAGTGTTGGCCAGTAATAACCAGCCCTAAGAATTTTTTGACCAGTCAATTGGCCAGAAAAATATCCGCCACACACACTGTCATGACAAGCCGACAAAATGGAAGGAACCTCATCTTCCATCACACAACGTCTTAACACTCCATCCAATCCACGTCGATACAACCGGTTCTCTAACACCACAAAATGACGACTATTGACCCGAATCTTCCGCCTCTCGTCCTTGGATAAATCCACTGGCAATTGTTGAGTAGTCAAGAACTCAATAATCCTAGAATACCATGCTGGTCTAGCTGTCACCAAGAAAAGACTCTCGTCTATCAATCTATCATCAATCGGGTAGATCTCCATTCCTCCAGGCAATCTCGACATGTGATCTGCTTGTTTGTGTACGGATCTAGGTTTGTACTCCACAGTGTAATCAAACTCTTGTAGCAACAAGACCCACGTAGCTAGCTGACCGCTCAACTCAGATTTGTTAACCAAATACTTGATGGCCATGTGATCCACATAAAAAACCACTTTGTTGCTCAACAGATAATGTCTAAACTTCTTAGCTGAGAACACCATGGCTAGACATTCCTTCTCAGTGGTGGAATAATTTTTCTCTGCAAGATTTAATTGCCTACTAGCATAGGCAATTGGATGATCCTTGCCCTTGCTTGGGCCTTCTACAAGTTGGCACAGAATGCTGCCAACCGCCACCGCACTTGCATCACAATAGATGTGGAAAGGCAAGTCCCACCTCAGGGGCCTCAATATTGGATAAGAAGACAATTCCTTCTTTAGAACCTCGAAAGCATCATTACAAGCCTGAGTCCATATAAAGTTGGTGCCTTTCTTCTGAAGGCTAGTGATGGGAAGGGTAATAGTGGCGTAATCTTCAATCAACTCCCTATACCAACCGGTGTGTCCCAATACACGTTGCACTTCCTTCACACTGGTAGGAGGTGATAAATTCTGAATTACCTTCACCTTTTCTGGCTCGGGCTCACGACCCCTCTTACTAACCATATATCCCAACAAAATGCCTCTAGTCAAGGCAAGATAGGTTTTTTTCTGGATTCAGGGCCATTCGAGCTTTCTTGCACCTCTCTAAGCTTTCTTTCACCAAATGAATGTGAGAATCTACATCAAATTGGGTGCTGAAATCATCAATGAATACGGTCATTGATTTGTATAACAAGTCTGAGAAGATAGACATCACCAGACGTTGGAAAGTAGCAGGGGCATTACATAATCCAAATGGCATCACATGCCACACAAACGTCCCCCAAGGTGTCATAAATGTAGTCTTGTGTCGATCTTCAGGTACAATAGACACTTGGTTGTATCCAAAATATCCATCCATAAATGTGTATAAATCGTGACCTGCCACTTCTTCCAAGATGCAAGTGATAAATGGCAAGGGGAAGTGGTCTTTTTGGGTGCAAAAATTCAACTTCCTATAATCCACACACACCCTAAGTTTATCATTCTTCTTCTTTACAAGCACCATGGGAGAGACCCAATCTGTAATCTCAACAAGTTTAATAAAACCTGCTTGGAGTAATTTCTCCAGTTCCTCTTTCACAATCAATTGAAGCTGAGGATTCATTCTCCTCTCCTTTTGCCTGATCGACACTGCACCGGTCATCAAAAGAATTCGATGTTCTACAATCTCAGGAAGAATTCCCTTTAACTCCTTGTAAGACCATGCAAAGACCTCCCGATACTCTCTTACCAACTCACATTAGGCCTTGATCTCTTCATCCTCTAG